CACTGTCGCAGACGCTCAGCCAATCGCAGATGCTGCCCAGCATTAGTGCCTCTCCCCCCTCCTCCTTCCAGATTAGCCCCCCACTGCACCCACACCAGCAGCTCTCCCTGCACCAGAGCTCGCTCCTCAACCAGCCTACCCGCATGCAGCAGGTCCAGTCCCAGCCAATCATCTCTCACCAGATGGGGCTGCAGGCCTCTCTCCACTCCCCTCCTCCTGGGCAGCAGGTAAACTCATAAACCCAGACACACCTGCTGCTGTGGGAACTTTTACAATATGTATTCTTGGGTTAATGTTTTCTCTTTTCCGCAGGGTTTTTCCCACCTCCACTCAGAGTATCAGAAGAGTATGGGGGGTTCCCAGTCTCCAGGAGCCTCTGGACCCGGTCCAGGCCCCGGAGTGGCTCAGAGCCATGACTGGGACGGTGAATACTGCAATCGGGAGTGTGGCAACCACTGCAGGTCAGTGAGAACAGAGCCGACTGTTTTATTATCTTCCCACAGTCTGTTGCCTTTTGTCACAGCGACTTATCAAATCAGGTCTTAAATGATTTTTGGAATTCAGTCAAAAAAAAAAAACTAAATCCAGCTGCTTGGACATGCCGTGTTTTCTGTTTGATCCATTTTCTAAGAGAGAATCTTCACAGTCCAACAGGAGGCAAACTATCAAATGTCCAAAAACTGCAGTACCTTGAATGGCCACTTGAGGCTTGCTATAAAAACAAACCAACACCCATCGAGTCCCATTACAGCAGAAGTTTGCATGTTTACAGCCTGGTACTTAAACAGCTTTGGAAAGTTTTTGACAACTTGAGATGGGATTATTATGATTATATACAACATTTAAATTTAAAAACAAAACTTAAGCTCAGCCGAGTACAAACCACAGATGATGAAATTTAAATGTAGTTTCATCTAAGGTTGATTTTTAAGTGATTTATAAAGTTAAAGGTAAGCTCTAACAAACGTTGGACCAATCGAGAAACCTCCAGAGAGATGGAGTCAGCCCCATAGACTGTATATAGAATGGACAGAGTCTGCCTCCTCGCTGGGTGAAGCCACTCCGAGAACAGCACCCTCTGTTGACAGGCTGCAGTATAGGTCATAAATCCCGCCTCTGCCAGCCAAGCTTATGGAGCTGTGGACAAACTTTAGAAAAGCCTATTGGTGTTCAAGGGATTGTGTAGCTCACACGAGAGATACATTGTTTGAGCCGAGCGTCACTCTCGGTGACTCTCCCGCTGAATGCGTACAACGCTACTGCGCAATGTTGGTTTCAGGAAATGAAGAAAAATCGCAGAAACACCGAGACCTTTTTGGCTTCAAATCCGTGTACTGGCGGGAGGCGGAACCAAGTTCTCCATAGTATATACAGTCTCTGGTTAGCCCATAACCCAGCCCACTTGTAAGTCAAATAGGCCACGCCTCTAATTATCTCCCTAATGAGCCACAATACAATCAAAACCAAAGAGTTATTAAAAAGGATTTTCCCCTGGTTGTATTACAGATAAAGCAAAAAGGTATGCAGATACAAAGTTTGTTTTTAAAACCAGGTTGTAAATATGTCGTATTCTGCTGTAAAAATGTGAGTTTTATCATGGAGCCTAATGAGGAGTCCTTGGTTTTTGAAGTCAGCCCCTAGTGGACACCAGAAGAACTGCCGTTTTTTTTTTCCTATTCCTGAACGGCAGAAGTTTCTGCTCGGTTCAGATAATGTCACATTTGGCTGAAAATTGAGACGACAACTTCAGATCTATTGTCTGCTATCCAGTGGGTGTTTCATCTGCGTCTCATATACGACATATGGTTCTGACTCCGAGTAAAATAAGACATATTCTGTGTGGGGAGAAAAAATAATAACAATGCTGTGTGACTCCATGTTCACCTTTAATTTAAGGTTCTCAGGTTTAAATTGTCTGATAAATACAGTCCAATGTTGGAGCAGAACTCCCTCAGACATAAGCATATAGAGTCACGTCAGACGTGTCTCAGGCTGCTTTCACAATATAAGTGTTGAAAATTGTCAGCTCTGTTCTGGGGAGGCAGGGGAGACAGCTGGAGAGGTAATGGTGAGATAATAGAGCTTGTCATGTGTTCGTCAGACAGCAGTAAAAAAACAGATGTTCTGAACACAAGGTCTTTTTTCTTCTCTTTTTAAGTGGTGATGTTTTTACACTGGCGGTGCAGTCCTGCAGCTCTGGAATAAATGCAAAATGTGCATTGTTTTTGTGTTTAGGTGCAATGAAGTGTTTTGTTTATTTACAGGTTTTGATTAGAGGAGAGTTGCAGTTAAGAAAATAAGTGCTCCGGCATCAGAGATTTAAAATGATCCGCAATCAGAGGAAAATACAAGTTTTTTTGTGTGTACTTTTGATTTTTTCCTTCATGATATCTTACCTGTGCTTCTGTTTGTTGGTTTTTTTCTCTCCAGTGGCAGCATGATTGGCAGGGACAAGCCCCTCTACCTCACCTGAAAACTGAAGATCATGCTCTGTCGACAAATACGACACCAAGGAGTCTACTCTCACCCCCTTAAACCTACCCGATCCCCCTTACCCATAACCCCCTTCAACCTTCTTCTGATGCACACACTTACATACATACAGTTCATACACTGATACACACACGCACACGCACACAGGCACACACACACTCCACCTCCCAAACACCACCACCGCCACCTTTCTTTGTCAGTGTAACTTTGATTTCTCTCGGTTTCTAGACGAACTTGTGAGCAGAGGTTTTTCTTTGACTAGATGACTGCTGTCTGTACCACTTAATGTATTAGCAGTCCTCTCGCTGTTTAAAAATTTGCCAAGCACTTACGAAGACCCCCCCCCCCTTCCCCTTCCCCTTCCCCTTCCTCCTCTCCCCCCCTCCTCTCCTCTCTTGAGTTGTGTTTCTCTGCCCTCGTTTAAAACATTCAGGGCCGAAGAGCTCTCCTCTTCTGTGTCACCATCAAAGTCCCCTCAGGGGCCCCATCCAGCTTTAATTAGAATGAGAAGAAACAAAATACTCTTCCTCTTCTTTAATCATTTCCATTTCCTTTTTTGTTGTTGTTGTTGTTGCTGTTTTATTTATTTCTGGCTTGCTAAATTGTTCCTTTTTATTTTTTTTTTCTTCCCCCCTCTCAACAAGCGTCAGGCCCTGTGCTGTAGAAAAATATTAACTTCTAGTAGGTTCTGCGCAGGCTTAGATGTTATGGTAGCTTTGCTTAAGGGCCTGAAAAATGAATACAAAAGGCTCGGGTTTGAGATGAGAGACAAAACAAAAGATTTTTTTTTAATATTAAAGACCTGTCGGGGTCTGCTGAGCTGTCACAGTGTGATTGTAAATATCACTTTTATGGGATCAAATTGGGAATTGGAAGTCCAGATAGATTTGTTTCTTCTTTAATATTACATGGAAGTCATTCTGTGTGTTTGTGTGGGTGTGTGTGGGTGTGTGTGTGTGTGTGTGTGGACGTTTCGAATGTACACCGATCATGACATGCGCGGCTGAGTGTGCACGCACGCACGTGCACGGACACACACTCTGGCGCGCGCAGGAGTGTCTCGGTGTCGAGTCTTTTCTCGTGAATTTTAACAGCCCTGTGCAGCTGGATTTCAGAGGAGTATTTCACACTCTCGTTCTTGCATTAAATCTGTGCTCACTGGTGTGTTTTTTTTCCAATAAAGTTCAATCTAAAACTGAATACACAATATGTGTCCTGCAGATCATTAAATGGAAAGATGAGGAGGAAAGGAGATAGAAAGAGAGAAAGAAACGCAGAGAGATAAAATGAGATATAATGCTGCAGGTGGAAAAAAAAAAGAAAAAGAGATTGCCTCAAAATACCCCCCCTCCTTCCTCACCCACCTGCCCTCCTCCCTGTTTTCTTACTTTGTCTGACCATAACGTCGATTTCTGTCTCCTCGACATGCAGAAGTGAAGTGATGAAACATGTGAACGGAGCCATCACATCCACATGACAGTGATTTTTATAAGTTTCTAGTTGGTGTTTGGTTGTGTTGATCTCATCTTTTTAACTCTTTTGTGTGATTAACAGAAATGCATTTTCGCTGACAAAGACATCTGTATTTATCTCTTTACTGTAGCAGCATTTCAGTTTTAGTTGTTACAGAATTATAACATTTTAAGTTGTGTAAAAAAAAAAAAGAAAAAAAAAAAAACAACCTGCCAATTGTAGTTATTTTATTTGTAAAGCCAGTAATGATAAATATTTTAAATGGTTATCAATATATTGTTTTTGTTTTTTTTCTCGCTATAGTTGCCCATCAGCCATTTGACAGGTTTTCTTATTTATGAGAGAAATTAGACCACATTTTGCTTCTTACAATGGAGGTGTATTTTTTATTATTTTTGACTGTTTTATCCCTCTGGTTTGATCAAAATGATGATGATGATGATGACCACAGAAATGATTTTTTTTCCTTTTTTTTTTTTCTTTTTTTTTTACATTTTGGATGCTGCTCCTTTTTTCCTTGCCAGCAGCATCTGTTTGTGTCACAATGCTTCTTTTATTTCAAACCTGCATAATAAAAAAAAGTTTAAAAGTGAGCATGTGTTCATGTCCTAATTTGTCCCCTTCATTGAACAGACGATCACACCTTTTTTTTTTTTTTTAAGAGACGATCAGATCCGCTCACACCCTCTTCCTGCTGCACCTCACCGTGTTTTTTTTACAATCGGGAGGGTCACGTTTGTAGCTTGTTTTTATATTTAGCCCAGGGCTCCTCTGGCATTAGCTAATTAGTCGTGGATACAGTGTCGAACATTGCCAGTAAACTATCTTAACAAACAGGAGAGCAGATGCGAGAAGACATTTGCTTTTGCTCGTGAAAGTGGTGCATCGTAGGCGTCTAGTGTGAGATAAAGAGAACAGAGAAATGCAATGTGCACACAAACTCAGGCAACCATCCAAGTACTGATTTTACCCCAATTGCACACAAGTCTTCTTCTCAGAGACTTTCAGAGAGAGAGAGAGAGAGAGAGGAGAGGAGAGGAGGAGAGAGATTGAAATGGAACTGTCACAATCCCGCCATTCGATGTTTTATTCATTTTACGTCTGCCTGCCGTCTCTTCCTCAATACTATTGAATTGGCAAATAGATCATTATTGGACAATTGGAAAACCTGCCACTTTGTGATATGACACATTATATGAAAATCACAGTCATACATTCTTAATGCAGTGTCAGATAAAAGAGATTTTTGGGTGCAGGCGCACAGCTTTGTGCCTTTTGTGTACATACAGTCATGAAAATCAGCTCTTTTTTTGTCTGCTTTTGCTGTTTGGGTGTTGTCTCTTCTTCTGAGCTCTATTTGTGTGCACACGCTGAACAATATTCTCCTTTATACTTTCGTATTTAAGGCATTTTCTCCCTGACATCTTCAAATATGTCGGCAGTTATTGTCCGTAGTAAATACTGAAAGAAGACAGTATCAATTTGACACTCCTGTCAGCACCCTTAATCCCATCCTTCGTCTCAAAGTCAAAGTCATGAGGCCAACAGAGAATGAAAAGCTGCAATTTATGGTGGAGGGGGCCATCGAGGAGGAGAGGTGAGCGCGGCGCTGCTGTTGGTTTCCATAGATTTGAAAAGAGCACCGCAGCAACAAAATGGATGACATGAGGAACAGCAGGCTGGTTGACAAAGACGAGGTCAGTGAGGGATCCATCCAGAAAAAATGGGAGATTAGAGTCATGCAGCAGCACTAAAAACTAAATGAATCAAAGTGAAACGCTTCATCCGAGGGAATACCGCACAAGATCTGGATGTTTTTCACCTTTTTTTAGCCACTGAATTCATTTTCCAAACTTAAAAAACACAAAAAGAGGATAAAAGTGCAATTTAAAACATTCATAGCAGTATTATTTCGTATTTCTGTCTGAAATTAATCCTGATACATTCATATTTATGCCTGTAAGTGAAACAGCACACTGCACAAACAGCCTTCTTTCATGACAATAATTCACTGTAACTCAACATGTGTGACAGTTAAAAGCAGCAGGAAGGAGCTCACTGATAAACAAACAAAATTACAGTTTAATTATGAATATAAAGAATATGATAAACAAATACGGCTTTTTCAACTAAATCAAACCTCCTGACAGCAGAGTGGAAAACCTGTAGAGTATCTGCACAAAGGATTACGATCAAACGCTTTTAATTATGTAGAGTTAAGTTTATAGTTAGTTAGTTAGTTAGTTAACTTATTTATCTGACCCACATGGGTGTATAAAATACTAAATAATATCAAAAAACAGCGTTGCAGAGGAGAGTAAAAAAAGAGGAAAAGATAAAACATACAAGTATATATAGAATTAAATCTACACCAATAAACTCCATAAACTTAAATCAAATGTACAACGTATTTTTTTTCCTTTCCCGGGCCTTATAGCTCACCTTTTTCTCTTTGGATGTTTAGTATATTTAGTCTGTATTTATTGTATATATTTAGTATTTTTAGTCTGTATTGTTCATACTTCTTCCTATATTTAATAAAATTTCCTAGTTTGGGATCAATAAAGTCTATCTATCTATCTATCTATCTATCTATCTATCTATCTATCTATCTATCTATCTATCTATCTATCTATCTATCTATCTATCTCAAATTCATAACTCAATTCAACTTTCTCATAATCATCTAAATAAAATAAATCATTAAAATGAAGCAAATGTCCAGTGTCCTAAAATTAAAATTAAATTTTTTAGCAAAATTCAATTCAACAGGTAAAAGGAAGCAAAACAAATCCTCTAGAGTCAGTGTTTTCTTGTTTGTTTGTTTTTTTCCATGCGTTCTGCTAATTGTCAAAAGTACTGCCTTGCAGGTTTAACGGTCGGTGCATGCTGGTTGATGACGTATATGAGGTGAACCTCACTGTATACCAGTGTTAGTTTGAGGACACCAGCAGTTGCAAATGTGAAAAATTCCCATCACCAACGAGCTCAAAAGATCCACCCTGTCAGACACGTTTGTTTCCTCTGCTCTTAAACAGCTCTCATTATAATGCACAAAATACTGGTTTTCAAATAAGCTCACGCTGGTCTGTTAGCGTGGGATTGTCGGCGCGCTTCAGGTGCCTCTGCGACCTTACATTTATAAGCTAAGGCAGGTGAAAAGGTCGCCGCTTCTACAGGTAAACTAAGAGTCTGAAAACCTAATTTTTGCAGACCAGCACATGTAGCGAAGAGGCAAAAATGTTTCACTTGCAACTTTGGTGCTGCGGTGTAGCAACAGGCATCAGGAAATGTGGGTGGTTTTAACAAGAAACAGGTTTCACTTTGTGTTCAGTATCAGTTAAGGTTTCTGTTTTTCATGCTTGATGTGCAAAACAAACAAGAAGGAGAAAAAAAGAACGAGGACAATAAAGTTTGCAGATTTTAACAACAATTAGTAAAAGAAATCAAACTGGGAACATGTTCTTACTTAACTTAGATGTTTTTTCTCTCACTGTGATCATTAGGAATGGCAGTAACTGCACAGAAACACCTCTACTGTGAACAGAGGATGACAAATGATAACACCTTGGACTTGACATATGAGGTACAAAGCACACTTGTGGTTTCACACCTATAGAAACGTACATAATCCAGCATATATGTTCTGTCAGCTTAAATAACAAGGTACAACATGTGATTAATGAAGTGACGATGGTTTTTTAGTGTTTTTGTCGCAGATATTCGGTGTTTGGTGTCGCTGCGTTTTCTCAAAAAGCTGGGGCTTCAATTTTTTCACACGTGAAGTTCCCCTTCAGACTCATCATGAAACATCAGGCGATGAGCTCTCTCTCTCTCTGACTCAATTAAACCCAATGTGATGGTCTCAGTATCAATTTGGCTGCTTTGCCTCACACACCGGAGTATCATTTATAAACTTACACACCTACTGTATACCCAAAATAGCACATATCGACTCAGGGGCACGACAGGGGATTTTGAACACGGTGAAAACAGATGAAATTGGGCGCCACCACTTCCGCATTGTCGTTCCAGTCACAGAGACAAGAATCTTTAGAACTTTTCCCCTCTTTTGCAGAATCTAACAGTTCTGTTTTAGTCAACAGATTACTGTTTTAAATGCAATTTGGCAGATTGAGCTGCTCTGATTTGATACTTGACATGCGCCCAACACAACATCCTGGTTTTCCACTCCATCCAAGCTGAAAGATTCTTAGTCTTCCTGCTCTCCACCTGCAGGCTTTAAGGACGGGTTTATAACACTACACCATCACTCCTTACATTAATGAAGTTAATGTATTATCTAAGGTTCAGGAGCACCTGACTAGCCTACATATACACATCCATCCCACTACACCTCTCTCTGATCTCAATCCATTTTCAGGTACAGTCTGGGTTGGACTCGGGCAGAACAATGCCTGATACAGAACCCCTATCCTGAGTCTCTCCCTGCCGGGCCTCTACAGAGCCTCCCAGACCAACCAGACATTCAACACTCCTCATTAGCCTCATCATCCATCACAACATACACACAACAGACAAGACATACACATTCCCAAATTCATATTAAATATTCAAACGTACATCACTATGGCGTGGTCATTAATAGTAAAATGCATGTTAAAGAAATCTGTAAACCTCTGAGACCGAGTACAAACAACGCTCTGAATCTGTAGTGAACATGTGATACATCAGAAATCACAGCTTTATATGATGCTAATGTTGCATCAAGCTCACTTATGTTTGCATTTTAATCACTGTTGATTACAACCATAGACTGTATATAGAATGGACGCCGTCTGCCTCCCCGAGAACAGCACCCTCTGGTGACGAGCTGCAGTATAGGTCATAAACCCCGCCTCCTCCAGCAATCCCTATGGAGCTGTGGACAAACTTTAGAAATTAATCACACAGAATATACATTTTTCTCCCCCCTGGTTGTGATGTTGACATGTAGTTACTGTAAGACTGGTTTGTGTTCAAGTCCTCTTTTTTCTGTCCAGCTCTGTTTTTTAAAGTTATTAGGGGTTTGTGATTGTGTAACACACCCGTGGGATTCGTTGTTTGAGCCGAGCGTCATCACAGCGACTCTCCCGCTGAATGCGTACAATGCTACTGCCACGGGAAGTGGAGAAAATCCCGGAAATACCAAGAGCAATTTGGCTTCAAATTCGTATAATTAATACAGTCTATGATTATAACTGAATATATAAAACAGACATAATCCTGAAGTTCGATGATGTGACTTTGTAGAGAGTCACTGTGATTGGCTGATTATGTACATTCCAACCCTGATTGGTTGTTTGTAATTGGAGGGGGAGGGAGCTCACAAACACAGATCAGACTCATGTTTACTCCAAGGAACATTTAAACTTTTATTATATTGTTAGTGACGCACATAGATCACATCAGTTATTTTTAACCAAAACTGCATGTTTGAATAAATAAAACATAGAAATGAGGAAATAAGTGTTCTCTTTAAAGAAAGTTGAAAGCTAGGTTAAGTATGACATACAGTTGAGTGATACACATAAGTGACTACCTCTGATATTATAAGAGTTTCGTATCTACAGCTGGTTCTTCTTCAGCCACAGGAAGGAGAAGAGGCTGAGAAAAGTGGCTGATAATGCACTTTTGATCTTTACAGACACGTAAAAGACGAGGTTTAGAGAGAGAGAGCATTAAGCAAATGGTGGCCGGAAGAGAGACCGGTTTGATGAGAAATAAAGTAAAGTAAACCCCTTCTCTCTCTCCCCCCTTCTCTCTCTTTCTCTCTCTTTCTCATTTATCTGTGGGCAGTACGGGGCAGCAGCCCACATCCCTGAAGAGAAACCACAGCGCTCACTGACTAAGAGGTAAAATAATGGCCTCACTACGTTTCTCCATCTCAGCACTTCTTAAGCTCTGACTTGAAGTGGAGATGAGTCAGATTGAGAACCACACACACACATACCTAATTTTCTCATCACCCCTCCAGTCTTCTGAGAAAGTCAGGTTCCCTTTATGCCCTCGATCACCTCCAACTGGAGTCGCAAAAATGGGACCAGTTGTACACACAGTCATTTCAGATGTTTGTTAAACAGCCCAGCTGCTCGATTTGAGCAATACCGCCCACACACACACACACACACACACACACAGACACACACACAAACGCAGCACCTTAGATCCTCTGATAATTGCATGTTAGAGAGAGTGTTGGAGAGAAACGGTTGTGTTAGTGTAACAAGGTTCTGGTCCAGATGTTCAGGATTAAAGTCTTGTTATGAAAATAGAATTGAGTTCTCCAGGAAGTGAAGTATTCAGCTCTGTCATGCACATGGCATGTAACCGCGTTTAAAGAGGCCTGAAGATGATGATTGGGAAGAGATTCAGTGGAATATAGAGCAACATGTTGGCATGTTGTGTAATCGACAGTCCGGGCATTTGGTTGGTAAAAAAAAAAAACATGTTCTTAAAATCAGCGCCATAGCAACCAAGCTGTGAACACGGTTTGCCAATGTACAGTAAATGTAGCTTCACGATACATTTTTACTGACTTATTCTTCACTTTTTGTTGCTATGAGACAATTTGAAATAATTTTACCTCTCAGTGACCGAACACAGATTTAGGGAGCAGCTATGATGACACTTACAGCACATTTATTAATTAATCTGAGGTTTGGGTTATTGAGGAGAGAAACTACTGAGCAAATCCTCTGAAGTGAAGAAAGAAATAAACTTTTGAGCATAACTTTGAACTGAACAGCAGTATTGTGGTCGTGGTGTTTACTTTGGCTACCAGACTAATAAAAACAACCTAAAGTTTACTAGTTATTCAGCAATATACCAGTACGTAGCCTCTACTGCCGTCTCTAAAGTTCAAGATGACAGCTCTTCAAACGGGTTTACCTTGTTTCCAGTATCCTTGGTAAGATTTCCTTTTTAGGCTGACAGCTGTATCATGATCCTGCTGTACTGAGATAACTATTATCTGGAGTAAAGAATCATACCTTTACCTGGTTCCGTCCAGAACTTTGTACTTTTCCGCCTCTTTGATATCAATGAACTCCACGTTTCTCCATTTTTCATCCTCCTGGCGCTGTAGTTGTGAGCGATGGTTTTCCTCAGTCGTGAGCAGTGATTCCAGTCATGCGCTACTCTAATAAATCCACTTTTTTTAAATTATCGAGTAATCTAACGTGTTGCTGTTTCCTTTAATCTGACTGATGTATTGTGTTATTGTCATGTTTTCTATAAATATGGCAGTATTTTACGGCCACGATAATCTTGAGGTAAAATCTGATAAATATGAGATTATTTTTCTCTCTCTGATAAGTTTGTAACGTGGCTAGTATGATAAATTTTGTTTCATAATGTTTTCACACCTTTTACTATTTGGTGAATGATGGTGGAGGACTTTGACGTCTTCGACAAATCGTCACTTACTCCTCGGTAAACAATTCTGTCCATAATTTAAATAGAACTCTAAGTCAGGGAGAGGACAATACACTCTTTAAGAGCTCATGCCATGCTCCACTATCATTCTTTTACAGTGTTTTTATACCTGCAGAATCTAAAATACGATGTGATTGTTTGTAATTTTCATATTTCATATCCAATATATCGTTCCATCTTAAAGCCCTATCACTTTCTATTTATGTCTGCGGGAAAAAAACCTTTCTGTCTCCCCGAGGGACACTTATTTTTGTCAGGTGCATCTGCATTCATTAGAATCAAAACAGAAGAATCTTTTCAATCGTTTTCTTGCTTTTCCTGCCTTTCTGTCTCTCCTCTCTGTAATGATACTTTCTGTCACTCCAAAGCGTTTTCAATCAGCCTGCCTGGTTTTAAAGAAATTGACTTAAAAGGTTTGGAGCAGGTGAGAAATAGTATGGATTGAATTCTAACTCCAATTCAGAGGATCATCCTTGGCTAAATCGTTCACAGCTGCTGCCACACAAACCCTGATGAAGGCCACGCGGTGTCATCGTGTGGTTTACTGGTAAATATTTGTTCTCTGTTCAAAGCACTTTACTAAACCTTACTCCTCCTTTCTTTGACTCAGGTTGCTGCAGTGGGTGAAGTTGTACCAGAATAACTCTTTCAGCGATGAGCTGACTTGCCATGAAGTTGAAGCTGCAGCTCCACCTGAGTGTCAGACAGGTCAGGAGTTCATGTTCAGTGTGGCTCAGAGAAGTTTTCACAGACTCCAGACTCTTTTGAAGAATGCAAGAGACACTGAAACTAAAATCCCTCTGAAATGCAACAGGAATTGGATCATTTCTGTGAGAAAGTTGAATGCACTGGAGATGCTGACCCTGCTTCTTTTTATAATCTCATTTGCAACGGTAAATGCAGAGAGAGAGAGAGCGTTATCGCGATAATGAAAAAGCTTCTCGAGTAAAAATATCGGCTTACTTTTGAAAAGTAAGAAAGTGAATGTTAAACAGTCAAGAGCTGCGTTTACATGGGCACAAATAATCAGAATAAAAGCCCTTTAAAAACGCATCATATAAACATGTAGATCAGAAAATTCAATTCCAATTTGACTCAATCAGAAAGTAATTGTATTCCGATCGAGTGGGGTGGTTTATACCGGTCGGTATTCCGAAACGCGTCCATGTAAACACTTATTCCGATCTCAACTCTCTAACCTGACTCAGCCTTCACTCTTTAGCCTTTGGCTTATTTATTGAGGCCAGTAAAGGACATTAACACTCTGGCATAAAACACAACCACAGGTACTTTACCAGCTCCTCCGATAACATAACAAGGGGTACATACTGCGTAATGATGTCACATTTGTTCGCACAGTTCAACCTTTGACAGAACAGTGACCCCCAATTTCCCCCACATCCGGAACGGCTACGAAAAGGCCGTATCCACCGATCGTAGATGATCGTAACCATTCAAGTTAATGTGTCAATTTACGTTATCAAGTTACGTGATTTCAGTTTTGCAAGTTATAGTCGGCCAACCTGCTACCTGTTGCTAAACCATGTGAGCGACGCTGTGTGCAATCCTATCGACTGTTTCAGTTCAGTTTTATCTCAGCAGCCTGCATCCTTCGCATCAGAGAAACGGCTTCTGTCACCGATTAAAGTCGAGATTGAAATCATGTTCAGTTGAAAAGTAACAAAGTTTCCTCAAGCCGTCCTTGATTAATTGTAGCTAGCGTTAAAAATTAATAACCAGGTTTTAAGTGCCAATTATACCTTAGTGGTTGTGAAACTTTTGATCATATTGCATATTTCCACGCAGTTTTGGAAAAGGGAATAAAAAAAAACAGGTTGCACCTTTAGTTTTAAGACTTCATGGGAGTCTAAAGTCGTGTGATCGGCGCTTTGAGGCTGTCTTCAGGCATTGTTGTTTTCTAGAAGACAAACCTATAAAACCATAATGAGGATGGCCTTAAAGCGTTCCATAAGACGAAGGTATGACACAGTTTAAAATGGATAAATAAAGCATTACAAATAACCTACAACAGTGTGCTAATTATATTCCTACATGGGGATATTTGAAGGTGATGTATTTATGAGCGAGCAGCCAGGAACCTTTCTCTCTGATCTATTGAGCAACAATCTGAACCATTAATTCACATTATAAACACCGTAGTTCAGTCATTTATTGCTAACTTTAATTGCATTTGTCATCTGTGAGCCCGTAATGACTTAAATCCTGTTTTCTTCTCACACCCACATACATGCAGCTCGCGGCCTCTTCTTTCTCTGCTTGTCAGCCTGAGATAAAAAACACAGGAGAACGCGGCGCAACAAAAAGGCTCATTCCAGTACGTTCCTTTTTTTAAAACTGGATTATCAAATTAATGAAAACTGCTCAATAAGTGCTGCAGTGAAGAATGCTTCCCACCTAATTGAATTAGGGTTTTCATTTCTGCGATTTCTCTGTTTGTTTTTGGCAGCTGCCATCTGTTTGCCTGGGACCAGCTCTATTAATAAGCTATTCAGATTGAGATGGGGCTTTATTCCAGCAACTGTTTCTCACCTCCTCTCTCTCTGTCTCTCTCTCCTGTTCTCTCTGCCTCGCTCGCCCAAATGATTGTCATGGAAATCATCAGAGGTGCCAAATCACAAACAAAAGAAAAAGCTTTAACATACACCTGAGCCAAAAAGAACAGAACTGTAGTCTAATTACGATGGGAACAATTAAGACTGTGCATATTTATTGACAGGGGACTTCACACAGGAGCATATGCTCATGAATACCAAAAATTCAAGGCAGAATGAAGTGGGGGGGTGGTGTTAGTGGTGAATCTGAGTGTCTATATGATGGTGTTGCTATGAAAAGCAATATTTTTCCTCTTAAAGAAGCATGTTTGGTAATTATAATGTGTGGCTTTGTTTCAAAAACAACACATTTTTATCGTAATGCCATTTTCAGCGATTGTTTAATGGACCTCTTTGGAGAGTATTTGGATTTGAAACCTTTCTATAAATAACTTCATCATTTCCTCTGACATCATGCTCTGGATGGAGAGCTGAAATGCTGTGTGCATTATTTTTCTGACTTATTTATTTCTGCGATTTACATAAATAAATATAATCTCACCTTAATTTGTTAGATGAAGAAAAGAAAAGGTGATGACTTTTAAGATTTGGTTCATATTTTTGAAGGATAACCATGCAGCGTTTTTTCCAAAGTTTAAAAAAGACTGCAGTTCTGCAAGTGTCCACTTGAGGCTTGCTCCAAAAGGCAACAAGAGCCCATTAACACTCATGCCTGTCCTTACAGCAGAGTTCAGCATATTCAAAGGTGTTAAATATGTGGTATTTGTAGTCCTGCTCAACATCAAACTGTAGACGTGGTACTGTGGTGTAGGGCTGCAACGATTAGTTGACGTTGTTGACAAAAATCTTTAATGAAAAAAGTGAATGAATGAAAGACAATGAAATCCATTGTCAACTCTAGTCGCCAGACATATTTGTTTTCCAGTGTAGTGAGGCATCTTACTTCATTACTGTCTCTGCTGAGCGGTAGGGTATTCAAACATGGCAGCACTGGTGTCCCATACAGCAGCTACGAGTATGCACTGAAAAATTTCTGAAGTTTGGGAGCACTTTTGCCTGGATAAGGCGAAAAAAAATATAATAACTTGCAAGGTTTGCAAAGCAGACCTGTGATCACTGCAGATCGGTGATAAACGAACATTTGAGAAGAAGGCACGTAATTATCCGATTTGTCAACTAATCATTTCAATAGTCTGTGACGGGTCGACTATTAAAATAGTCGTTAGTTGCAGCCCTACGATGGTGTTTGCATGAGTAAACTCTAATGTTATGCTTTGTTTTCAACTGGTGAAGCTATAAACAGCTAACAGAAACGTTCCAACAGTAGTTGCCCATCTTGGTTTTCCGACTTGTTAGCCAAAACGCCGTCAACTTGGGTGTAACATCATTCTCAGCTCCGATATCCAACTTCCAAGGTAACTGGAACGCAACATAGGTAGATGTGCTAGCTGTTGCTTAACAGGAAGCTGAAGGCCTGCATTAACTCCACCTCTCTGCCTTTTTCTAGACTGATTGAATGTCAGGTAGAGTCAGTATTACCAATACGGTGACTTCCAGTGGTGGCTTCATAATGCCATGCCTACTGCTGGTTAAAAAACATCTTTAAAAGTCATTACAACGATCAGTAATGCTATAATATAGAGTTTATGGCAGCTTAGTGAGTGTTTAAGCAGACTGGCTAACACAACTACAGGCTGTATATAAAGATGGATGATGTGACATCTCCCCGAAAGTGAGGTCAAAAGATTGGTAGCATCTTTTACGGTTGTGTTGGTAAAGTTCATCGTCATGATGCTAATATCTGAGTTTGAATTTTCCTACAAAGTTAAAATTTTATGCTAATTATGCGGGATGATTGCCGATTGTGTCAACATAACGATTAGGTTGGAATCTGCGCTTCTACAATCGCTCAGTGAAATACAATCAAAAAGTGCAGTTAGCTAGGAAGAGGTAAAAGCTGATGTAAGCTGTTATCCTGTAGAAACTGGTAAAAATTGTTGTTTTTGCTTCATCATGGCCTGGATTTTCCACCGCCCCACATTTAAAATCCTATAGCACAGCAGCACAACATTAAAACAGCATTTTCAAGTCCCACCCTTACCGTAACTACAGAGAAAAATGGCCTCTCTGTGTGAATACGGTGAATTGCCTCATATAAAAAAAGAGAAAAAAAACTTGTGTGCTTTTGTCACCAGCAGCCAATAATAACCCCTCTCTTTCTCTCTCTCTCTCTCCCTCTCTCTCTCGTTTTTTACCTCTCTGTTGACAGCAACAGTCTCCCTTTCAATGCTCAAAGAACAAGGAATTCCAATCTGGGCTTTGCTCAGTATTCTGATCACACACCTCTCTCCTCCAGTAATACAAGTCTACTTTAAAATTCATAACTACATTTGGAAAGAATAAAAGGCTGCCCTGATGGAATATTTCCAAGGAGCTTACTTGAGCGAAAATACAATTCGCTTTGGCATATTTAATAACCCTAACCTGCTCTTTAAGACATACAGTAGTAATAACAATATTAAAAAAAATACTGGGGACTGAGAAAAAAAAGGAATCCAAGCTGTGCCCCAGCATGAAATGAGCACCTATAATTCCTGCCTCTAGGAGGAGGATGAGGGAGAAGGAGAGAGAAAAAAAGGGTAAAATGAAGGAGACAAAAGATGGAGAGAAGCCTTGTCAAAGTTCGAAACAGTCAGCTCAGCTCTCTCCCTCTCTCTTCTTCTTCTTCTTCTTCTTCTACTTCTTCTTCTTCTGCCTCGGAGGCAGTTAGAATTGAATCAAACAACCCAGATTGATTAAGCTTGGATGAATGACTTTCCAATGACACAGGATTCAGCTTCAGCCTCACTCCCACCCCATCCCTCTGTACATATTTGACATGGTTATTGAGGAGTTGATTTGAAAGTGATTGCACAGTTGTTTCACTTGGATTCTGTACAAGGTTTGAACCTCGACTAAAATGTTGTCGCCGTCGCTCGGTTTCCTTGAAAGTGACTGTTTGATTCCTGTTGAATCCCGCTTTGATTCGGATGCCTCTCAGGAAGAAAAGCACAATGACTGAACGAGTGTGAGAAAATAGATAACATGCTCTTCCAATTGGAATATGAATTGCTCAGCTCGAGCCTGAGTATTAATCTCTTGCCCTCTTTCCTCTCTCCAGTCCTTTTGTGTTAGGAGGGAGGAAAAGAGAGAGAGAGGGCGAGAGAGAGAGAAAACAAGAAATAGAGTATTGAATATTGTGGGATGTCCTGCTCTAAATTAGGTCAGGACCAATCAAAGCTTAAATGCTCTTTCTCTCTCTTTCTCTCTCTCTCTTTGACTCCTCCATATGGAGACACAGAGACCCCTACTGTTTCTGTTGCACACTAGACCCATACAGACCTGTCCTCCCTCAATACACTACTGCCATCTGTCTGTGGTGGCGCACACTGCAGATGGACACTTATACAATAAGATAAAAACTATATTTTAATTCTTTCTTTCTTTTTCAATGTTTTTTTATCATTATTATTATTGTTATTTGCACATGCATGTATAGTCTACAAACCCCATCATGGCGGGTGGAGAGAATTAAAGCAGACTTGACCCCCAGCAGAGGTAACAGGACCCTTACATGTCACCCTTGTCTAGGTCTGTTTTTGAATTGGCCTACTGCATAGGGGAGACCGGGACTTGTTGTCACACTTTTTACACTTGTATGTCTTTTAAAATCAATACATCTATATAAACAAAATGTGTACCAGATGAAAGACCAAAGTCTCAGGTATATACTTTGTATTCATGTCATTTTCATATCTTGTGTTAGTGCAGAGTTATAATCAATCAAACTGAAAGTGTAAACATGTGACATGTTGCCCCACCATCGGGTAAGATGTCACAGTGGATTTTGCAGCTAATAAAACAAGGACAAAATTATTGTTGTTCTTATTTTTCTACATGAAAGTAAACAAAGTCAGGCACAGAAAATGTCTATCATTGAGCTAAAAAAAAGTCATTAAACGAACGTTAACATAAAATATTATAAAACATGCTCTGGAGTTTGGAGATCTGTCTGACTCGCTGTTTTTGCAGTACTGAGCCAAGGTATGGTAGTCATTAAAGTCTTTTACTGTCCTCCAGATTGATTTATTAGCGAGGGTCACCTGTCTGACTGCCCTCAGCATCACGTCAGGAACTGCACTGATATGTTCTGTTTTTCTTTCGTAATCCCTGACCATGTCTTCTCACTTTCTCCTCTCCTTTAAACCACTCTTTTCTCTGAAAAAATAAAGTCAAAATTTCATTATGACAATCCCTTTTAAACATGTGACAACTAACCCCAACATGACTGAGACATATTGCCCCAAACTACTATGTTCTAGCTCTAGATTAAAGTTATCTTAAAACAGAACAATGACTGAGGTGTGACAGGAAACCTTAATCTCTCCTCTAACAAGTCCACACGTATCACTGCTAAGATTTTTATCTAGAGGAAGATTATTTTAAAATATATAAGGTTAATTCTTTTTACTTTGGGTTGTGCAAAATGGTTAATCGGCGCTGATCTCAGCTCACAATGTTCTCTTCTCTTCTCAGACAGGACACGACCCCGACCATGTAAAGGAAGAAAACTAATAATCCACTTTTTATTTGCGCCCTCTGGTGGCAAAGATAATTGGAACGTGACAACTTACCCATGTGACAATGTGTAGGTAACAGTAGGCGAAGCAGACTGCTCCGGGTATTTTTGGCATACTGCAAATTTCACATTTGTTCACCTATACTGCATACTGCATACTAAATTTTGGGCAAACCAGTACGTACTGCGAGTATAGTAGACGTATTTGAAAACGGCCTAGGACTCTATTGGAGGTTTTGACTGCGAATAACATGGAGGTTAATGTCAAGGCTTTTTTCACAGCACAAAGATAAAAAACAGTGAGAATCAGAGGAGAGATCGGGTCATATTTAAAGTTAAAAAACAAATGTGTGTGTCATGAAACAAGGCACAGAAGGAGGACACAACTGCAAAGACAGTGAATCAGTTTCATGAATCATGCAGAGGTGGGTAAACACAAAAAGGCTGTCAGATCAGCTAAAGGTATCCAAAAACGTGAGGCAAGAAGGCAAGATCCAAAAAAAGGCAGGTAATGAGGGTGATGGGAAACAGGTGAGGAGACACAATCAGGGAGCAGGGCAGACGGGGGCAGGGCAGACAGGAACAAATCTAGAAGACAGAGACAAGGATTAGTGAACGACAAAATAAAACAGGAAATGCATGACATGAACAAAACTTAAATGTGCAAAAATAAAGGAAACTTAACCAACAAATTAACAGAAGTTAAAGGAAACTTAGCAGACATGACAGTGAGAGACCCTCAAATGTCAGACACTTCCTGTTTAACGATCAGATCTGAAATTCTTCAATTTAATGGAAAGAAGAAACGTTCGCACAATTATTGTTGATTTATCGATGACAGTTTTGAGAGTGCTGATGTTTTATACGGTGGGGGGAGTCAAAGCAGACCAGGTCCAACCAGTAAGTACAAGTTATTGTAATTGTGTTGACTGTTTTAGCATAACTGAAAATTGATGTTTGACTCATTATAAATCATCTAAAGTGTGTTACAAGCTACGACAACCATGTAAATTAGATCCAACTGTACATGTAATAATGAATCTGTACATGACTTTATCATTATTATTTTTAACTCCTACATGAACCTCTTGATATTTTTCTTTTTGGACTATTCCAGATTGCCAGACAGAAATTCAGAAACCCTTGTGAGAGCGTTTCATTTGATCTTCTTTCATTGATAAAATGTTCACTCAATTTAAATTTTTAATTTTTTAATTGCTAGTTTTATTAAATTGTTTAGCTGATAAACTCTGATCAGTGCCCCACTAGAAACTTCCTATAAACACTTAAAATATAAATTATTGCAAAGAAAATAAATGTTTGTTTTCACACAGGTATGAACTCCACCTACTTAAAGACCTCAGCTATAATAAGAATTTAAATCATAACAACATTTTTAACCCGTCGATATCACCAGCAGAATTTAATACTTTCTTTAAAAGCGTTACAAGTTCCAGCTCAGCTGCAAACACATCTGTTAAAGTTTGTCTAATCAAAGTAGGAGGTTAACACACCAGATGTTGTTATGGGGTCGCAGATTTTTTAATGTTTTGACAGAGAAGCTTGTGAATTCATTAATTTATTTATGTTAACATAATCTAGATTCCTAAAGCCAATATTCATAAAGACTTGTGACTACATCTTGCAGATTTTTTCCCTCATACTTTGATATCACAGGGTTACCATGTGTGGATCTGTGAGATTGTCAGTGTTTATCCTTTATTTTTAATCCCGATAAAAATATTCTTAAAAAGCTGAATATCTGACCAAAATATTAAAAAAACAAACTGGTGATGTTGTCCTTTAAAAGAAGTGAGTGCTCCATATCAAGTTCGATGTTTTCATGAATTGAATCTCTTCATGTATTGAGGAGATTTATCCAAAGACTGTGATGCACTCGGTTTTTCTGATCTTATTCAAGGACGATTTTCTTTCTCTTTTTATGTAATATTATTCCCCTCCAGTTTTCAGCACAAAAGAAAGGATTGGAGAGTGCGGTCTATCCAACATTTTCTCTTATCCACTTACTAACATCATGTTTTCTGACAATTTTCTCCCCCCTTCCTCCCCCTCTCCTAAGTGCCCTTCCATTTTTGTTAATCAAAATATATTCTCACAATCTCCTCCTCCACCTCCTCCTCTCTCGGCCGATCTGAGCGGCTGATTGGCAATTTTCAGAGGAAGAGAGAGATGGACACGACCAATCTGAATGCAGCCCAGGCGTTGCCATGGCGACGTCTCAACAAGAGGAGTGAGGGAGGAGAGAAAGGAGAGAGAAGATATTATCAAATGGGAACACTCTATTCTGATTTGATAGGCTCATATATACAACTCACAGTCTGTTATTACCAGACTCCACAGCGTCTATTTGTTGGTAAGGCACACACACATGCAAATACACCTGTTTAAAAGGCACACACACACACACACACAAACACACACACACACACTCAGACTAACACTACACATATTACCAAGCAGCATCTGTGCCTGACTGATAACACCGCCTCATGGCAGTAAAGCGTAGAAGAGGAGGCTGTTTGCGTGCTTCTTTTACAATGGCCGGCAGCAGCAGCAGGCCTAACTGTCTCCATCACACACCCCGCTGACTTAAGCAGCTCATCATCAACATCTTCGCTCGGCCCTTTTCCTGCAGATCTGTTTGGACTTAATAAAACTGTCAGACCTCCTGCTGGGCCTGTTAAATACTGACTGCATGAGGGCCAGATCCACGGTCTGAAGACGCTCAGCGCAACGGCTCGTTAACGACAGAGAGATATGACTTTAAAAGAAGCAGCGGGATCAGGAAATAGATGAGAACTGACTACAGAGGAGAGAGAGAGAGAGAGAGAGAGAGAGATAGATAGATAGATAGATATGAAAACACACTTTAAAGCAGATGTAAGTGACTTTTTGTTTCTGTCACCTCTGGCGCCCCCTGTGTTTAACTTGCATTTTACATGCTTGAGACAGAAAATCTCATCCTGCTGACTTTCACGGTAAAATGTTTATTTATAGTTATTTTATATGTAAATAGTAGAAAAAGCTGTTTTTTTTCGGCTGCTCAGTTGACGCCTACCCCCTCGCATCAGATCCAGGAATATAAAAATCTTTAACCTTGTTGTTGATGTTGATGATCTTGTTTGCTTTTGTTTATTGTAAAAAGGCTCAATATGAGTTTTATTGTGTTTCAAAAACGTAAAAAAAATCTCACAGAAACTTTAAGCATACCTTTTTTTAAGGTAGATTGCCTTCTCCAGGTCGAAGGGGAGGTCCCGCCTCAAGTGGAGGAGTTCAAGTATCTGTATCCATACAGGGAGTATACAGTCCTGTGGTCCTAAATTGCCATCTATTAAAAAACAAATGGTGCATTAAAAATAAATATGACAAATGAAATCCTCTAACAGGCAGAAGTAGAACAATATATCTCTGTCAAAACTCAAGAACTGGCCTCCTCTCAAAATGCTAAATGATGCAGATAAAATCTGTTTTTATCAACATCTTTACTGGCTCCCTACTTTTTTGAATTGCAGTTGTTTTCTAGGCAGCTTATGAGGGGAAGTACAGGAAATTGCTCGATGCTTTCCTGTCTTCAACAACCGGTCACGGTTTTGAGTAACTACATTTCATGCTGGAAAGGTGGGTTTGGTTTAGAAAAACATATTTTCTAAAATAAAACCAGATGCCTGTGGCTGCTGGGAAACAGGTTTGTGAAACAGTTGAGCCAGAAAAGTCAAATCAGAACACTAAATATAGAGCTGAAAGATCCCAACAGAGGGACTCTTCAGAGCTTTGGAAGAATTGGAGCGTCTTTCCACTGATGAATGAAGCAACTCCCCCATTAAAAATTCATTAAATAATAAAAAAAAAAATCCTACAAGTGCTTCTAATTTCTGTGCAATCAATCTTTAAAACCTCCTGAATTCATAGAGATTTTAATTTGACAAATGATTTTGGAGAAAATAGTCTAAATTAAGGGAAACCGCATATTTTCAAGTGTGCAATAAAACAAGTGTCGGTGACGTTTATGAGGAATCAATGAAGCCCTGGACGTCAAGATTAAAAGTTAACAAAGTTTATTACATGTTTATATACAAACAACCCTGCAAGGCACACCTTTGTTTAAATAAGAATATACAATACATTATTCTTTTCTTAAAGCAAACATGGTTTAGTTTTGATTTATATATTAATACGAGTCTGTTTAGAGTGGGAGACAGAGAGAAGGCCCCAGGCTGTGGAGGTTCAGTCAAATAACCCCAAAATTTAAAAAAAAGAATAAAAAGAAAGAAGCTTAATAAAAAAAAAAAAATACAGAAATAAAAAGAAAGGAGCAAAAAAATAAACAGTAATAAAAAGGAAATAAAAATGAAATTAAATAAAAAAAAATAAAGATAAAAAATAAAAGGAAGGAGCAAAAAAAGAAGCGAAAAAAAAAACAGAAATAAAAAGGAAGGAGAAAAAGAAATAAAAAGAAAGGAACACAAAAAGAGAAATAAAAGAAAGGAGCGAAAACAGAAATAAAAAGGAAAGAGCTGAAAAACAAACAAAAAGGAAGGAGCAAAAAAAAGAGAAATAAAAAGAAAGGAGCAGAAAATAAAACAAATAAAAAGAAAGGAGCAAAAAAAAAATCACTCTCTGATGTAAACAAATTAACATTTGATCTTGGCAAACTAAAATATATAAAGATTAAATCCTCTGTAGCTGGAGGGGCAGTTTAGAGCAAACTACCTTTAAGTGATGCATGATTATGAAACAGTCTTTGTCAATATGATAAAAGAAAAAAGGAGATCTTGTTCTGGTTACTCTTCTTAAAATAAACGAAACTCTAAAATAATCCAGATTTAAATAAAAGTCTTTTTCATTAGCAGATTAACGAGATTCTGTTCACCTGGTTACACTAAAACGTCTGTAATACAAGTCCTCTTCTTTTGTTAGGCAGTGGATTAGGAGACACTATGGAGAATGAAAAATAGTTTTTTAACTTTAATAAAAATATAGATAAGATTTGGCATTTGGTAGTTGTTAGTCTACATAATCTTTATTAAAAAATCAGAGTAAAATAATCTGAAGCGTCCTCATAAAGAGATAAATGTGTAGCTCATACTGTACATTCTGGAGTACAGACGATTGATCGCTCTCTGAAGCTGCCTTCATCATAAAGATGTCTGTCCGACATCAATCAGGACATCTGTGACATAACTTTTGTTGACTGCTCACGACTGAGAGATGAAAAGGATGCTCGTGACAAAGGCCTGCTGTGACTCACATAACCAAACAAAACCGAACAATGGGGCAAAACAAAAAAAAGACAAAAAAAACAAGAAATGATTGAGACTTCAAGCTTTGAAACATTAAGATGCAGACTGTCATATTCACACAGCTCACCGTCACTAAATGTCATGACCTGCTGTTACAGATTTCACAGATTTCTGATCCTTTAAATGGCCTCTGACTCGAGCCATCTGTAAAAATCTTTAACCCTTTAACAAGTTCACTCAAGTTCCAACAGCATTGTAGTTTTTCTCTTCGTTTCCCTAAAAAAACAGCGGGAGATGTTCGATCAGAGACGATACGTTTAGAGAAGAGAAGGGGTTAGTCGATGTCAGGGTCTGGGCCGTGTCCTCTGATGGTTCAGAGTCTTCTGGTCTGTGTTATATTGAATATTCCTATTGTTGATGTTTCCGGATGGCCCTCTGTTATCATGCCAAGAGGCCGAGCCGCTTGACTTTAGCAGACAGGAAAGAGTGAATGATGAAGACTATGGTCTTGGGGCAACAGTGAAGGTCCAGTTGCTGAAAAAGAGAGAGCCAGATAGAAAGGAAAAACACACAGTAAGTCACGATATGATACAAACTAATACAAATAAGAATATGATAACTACAAGACGTAAATCATACAATTTGGAAGAATAGGATGCAGCTTCCCCATGACGAGTATGCAAACCGCCAGTTAGAAGGGTCATGAAGTTTGGATTAAAATTCAGTAAATGAAAATCATATTTTTTTACTTCATTTGTTTTTAAAGCTGATGTTACTCCAGTTGAATAGCTGAATCTAAAACTGGGCGATTACATGATCGTGATTAATGATCGTGATAAATTTTAGTTCGATCACGGTGATCAGCTGGGAGTGTATTTACTCGATCAAACATAGCAGAAATGTGCGTGACAACAGCCAATCAGTATCAAGCTTTTACTGCTCACTCCTATAAGTTGCCAGAGCAGTAAACAGGATGACCGAACGTGGAGCCAAACGTGGAGCTAAGGGCGGCAAAATAGATGTCAGTCGTGACTTTGAGTCATCCTCCAAAGATGCCATTGTTAAGAAGAAAAGTTGTTCAACGTCGGTTGTGTGGCGGTGGTTTGAGTATCTCCAAATGACGTCGAGCAATTAAGCCGATGTGTAAGGTATGTTGGCAGTCATTGCCCTCAAAAACAGATCTGTTTAATCATTTGAAGAAGTTCTTTCCCAGGGATCATGTGGGAAAACATGAAATGTGAGCAGAGTCTGTACAGTCTGCCACTGTTGATGGCACAAGTAGCATTAACAGTTTAGCTACAAGTAGAGGTGCAGCCACCAGACCGAAGCAGCAATCAATCATAACATCTACGTTTTGAACATCTAATGTTTTCTTTTAAGGCGTCTTTATTATCCCTGAGGGGGGCATTTGTTACTAAAGGGTTTACATAATACATTTATGTAAACAAACCATGTGCAATTTTAGATACATCTGCTAGTGCAATCGTGTGTTAGGGGCATCGTGCAATTCAATTCAGTCTTGCACTGTACCGTGCATCGTGCAATTCAATGTAATTTTGCACTTATGCACTCGTCACTTTAACAAGCTGTACTGTAGCAAATGGCACTTTAAACACCTTTAGCACATGACACTTTAATTACCCTTTTAGCACTTTACAATTCTCCTTTCGTCTTTTTGGTTCCCTTACTACTGGTCATTTAGTTTTTGGTCTGTGTACATGTTTATGTATATTATGTGTATGTTGTCAGTGCATTGTTTTATCGTCTAAATCATGTTGTTTGTACTTTTAAAATTATTGCTTTTATGTTTAACATCAACCTGCCAATGGGACTGGGGATGGAAATTAGCCATCTGGCTATAATCCCACATATTTACATGTAAATGTTCATCAATATGTACTGTTCCCATTTTTAAAAACAAATAAATAGAAAATAGAAAATTTTGGGTCTTGTATACCTGCAAAAACACTCAGGACTGAAAAATAGTTCACTGTATTTTTCAGTATTTATTTACATTTGTTGTATTGTTGAGTTAAAATGTTTATCTTATTAAATTTCATCTTGTATGTATCTCTGTATGTAAATAAAAATGTTGAACTAATCTCTAGTTTGTTTAGTTTTTAGTACAGATGCTTTAAAACTGGCAGTTTAAAAAAATACCAAAAAATTCGTGATTATAATCGAAATCGGATGATTTGACAAAATATATCTTGATCTTTTTTTTTTTGCCCAGGCCTAGCTGAACCACTGACTTACAATCTCAGCCTCGGGGCCTCCAAAGTCCAGGAACATCATGCGAACTCCATCGTCGGAGGACATTCTTAGACGCTCGAAGGGCTGCTGGAGCAGGATGCTTTTCCTCACGCCCATCTCCTCTGTGAAGAGTGTGAAGCCCTCGTCGATGTGCACTCCCAGGGTGCACTCCTTCCCATTCCAGCTACAGGCTGCAGGGATAGAGAGGAGGAAAAAAAAGGGGGTTACATAAAGGAAAACTGCAGTGACTGACAGGAATCATCAGTTCGATGTTCTAGTTTTGTTGTTTGGACAAATTCCAGAATTCTTAGCTGAATGCGATGTTCTTGTGATGAAAGCATGAAGACATGGTTTCAATAATGAATAATGCTCTTTGTTAAAAAAAGAGATTAGGCCCAAATCTTTGTTAAATAGGACACTCTCATTCTCATTCTGGTACTAAAATTAGAGCGCTCCAGAGTTTGGGCTGAAAGTTTTTGCACCACCTCGTTCCACCAGCAGAGGGCGACCTTACAACATCACATAACTGTGAACTGATGCCTGCTTTTCCAAGGATGACCAAGTTTTCAGGGGAATTTGAGGATAAACTGACCTGAGAGCAGACATGGGTTTACAACACACCTCACAAAACAAAGCTGCTCAGACAAATCTCTTTTTCTTCATTAAACAAAATCCCTGTGAAAGCAACAATCAATTCTACCTCCAGAGAGAGTCCTATTGTTATCATATCTTTTGTGTCTGCTGAATAGAAACCACATGGTCTCCTCTCTGATTGTTGTGCGATTAAACAGATTTGAGGTGTGTCTGTGTGGAGAGGATTGAGAGTGGCTGACTTATAAAGCCATCATATTTGATCTTCAGCAGATCAGAGTGGATTAAATCAGGATATCTAAGGAGGCTGCAAGGATTTGGGGATTTATTTTACACCCAAATGAAAGGAAACACAACTTTTGATCTCATTTTGATAGTTTATATTTTATTAACACGACGCTGATGCTCGGTGAAGGTACGTAAATCTAATTTGAAGAATAGCCGGTGAACTTTGGGTGCAGACCTGCTTCATCCTGAGCTCTTTTTATAAAAACGGTATACCAGTGTACCTTGTATGGTAGCTGACAGAAGGTGAGTAATCTGCATGATCAAAAATACTCTTAACTCACTGAACTCTTGACAGATTTACAAATGTTTTTGTTTATTACAGACCTTAATAACATGGTGTTGAGTCGGGATGCTTGGATATATAGAAATGTCAGATTTTCTTTAAGAAAAAAAAGACTTAATCGTGCAGCACAGTTGTTTCACGGCTATTTGCGCGCAAGGGGCTAACTTTTGAGTAGCTTTGCGCGAGTTTTCAAGGCTGAGACCACAATCGAGATTTTAATTTCTTGTATGACAGCCTTTATTTTTCGTGTAAGTGACAGTCTTTGTGGATGTGTTTGTGTTTATCAGCTGTCTAGCTTGGCTAACAGGCTCGCTGTGAGTAAGACCAAGTACATATTACAAAGTTGACCCTGTAATTTAACATCAGTTGGAGAGGCAGAAATGTTCTTTTGTTTCAACATAACTAAAGTTGCACTTGATTTCGAAACTGTTTGGTTTGTTAAAAACATCTAAAATGGCAACACGAGGCAGAAATTTATATTAAAAATAAAAATGTTATATATGTTTTTGCTATATGTTATTTTATTTATCCCTATAATAGAAATATTACTAATATAACATACTTGGAATTAATAAATGTTTTATATATAAATGATTTAATATAACTGCCATGAGTATGTAGGCCTATAACTATTGTTCTACCTATCTGCTTAATGTTTATTTATGAATATCGATGGTTAGACGTCGGTCTCCATTGGCTAACAGCGTGCGTAATCCATCTAGCCTTCATATATATATATATATATATATATATATATATATATATATATATATATATATACATATACATTTATGGCTTAGACCAGTGGTTCCTGCATGTTTTGGATGTCTCCCTGCTCCAACACACCTGATTCAAATGATCAGCTCGTTATTAAGCCATTACAGAGCTTGATAACGAGCTGATCATTTGAATCAGGTGTGTTGGAGCAGGGAGACATCCAAAACATGCAGGACAGTGGGCCTCGAGGACTGGACTTGAGAACCACTGGCTCAGACCATATAAGACAAGCTGGTGCTAAACAAACGTTTGCAGCATAAAACACACACCTCAGTTTTCTCTTTGCTTTGTATTAGTAACTCAAACAACCTGTCAATCAAGTTTAAATCAAAAACACCTTCGTTTTCACATCCAGATGATGAGTTTTCGTCTCATTATTTTTAACACAAAAATGTAAGCGCTAACATTTTTTATGTATCAATTTATTTTTGTTTATCTCGTACTAAACTGATCCGTCTCTCATGTTTTACTTTGGGTGAATTTATCAAAGCGATGTGCGGCACAATGAGATGATTCATTTTTAAAAAGGGTGACCTCAGTGGGAGGCGAACCTTGAGCCTTTGTTGGTTCATTCTCAGCTCACTCCGGCAAGGACGAGCAACACTTGAAGAAAATCAAATATTATTTCCAGCAAACATTCCTGGAGATTTTCTGACAGTGAAGAACAGAGTTTTTCACACTCATGGGTGGGATAAATAAAAAATGAACTGGGACTAAACAAATCTATAGATCTGTACCCGTGGTGACCTCCTTGATGAGCTCAGCGGCGTTATGGCAGCCGTCCACCAGCAGATGAGTCCAAGTGGACAGCTCCTTGGCCGAATCCACCCTGAAGACATGAGTCTCCACGCCTTGCTTTGTGCCAGAGCGCAGGCCAAAGGAGAGGTCAGAGTCCAGAAGAGGAGAGCTCTTTCCTGGACCGGAGTGGACCAGTCTGAGAGAGGACAGTGAGAACATGTTAGAAGGACGTGGATAAGAGGAGGCTCATTAATAAACAAAAAAATCATGTGTCAGGAGAGCAAACAAAGGGTGTGTGGATGTTGATGTGTTGGAGAGGAGAACAGTGAGAAAGTGCAGAGAGAAAAGAGGGAGGAAAACACATGACTCATAGATTCTGGTTCCACTAATCTTTTCCAGATTCTGTGCCAAAACGTCCAGCTCTCCAGATATGGAAAGAGTGAGCATGTGTGCTTTGACTGGGCCAAAACACGCACTGGAAGGGCTGTTCAAAGCTCAGAGCTGGGCTGCTCAGGGTGGAGAATGGAAACTGGTCAAAAAGCAGGAGTGTGTGTCGTGCTGCGTGTGCACTGGTGTGAACTCTCGTGTGAGGACCTGGTGGCGATGAGCGGGTGACTCTTGGTGGGGCTGCTGAGGCTCTCTTTGCTTTCAGGCAGTGTCGGGTAGAGGAGCAGGTCTTTGTCAGTCAACACGGCCAGCACTGGTTTCTCTGGACCCTGGGTCACCTGAACACAGGAAGAGGAAATCATGTAAAGGCATCATATAGCGCTTAATAAACACTGTACAGAAGACGGCATATACTGACAGTAGGGCTGCACAATTTTGGTCAAAAATAAAATCCAAAATTTTCTCTCTGAAAACCCGGTTTTAGATTTTTTTATTCAGTGAACTTCACCAAACTTTACTTTATTAAAATTTTTCGATCATCTCTCAGAACAAAATCACTGAAAACGATTTAGCGCATATGCCAAGCCAGTAGGAGGCGCTGTAACGAGGCACAGGAGATGCACAAAAGACAGAAGAAGAGTACGGAGCATGTGTATGAAGGTTGTCTTGGCCGGACACATGCAGGCACCATAAAAGAGATACGCTGTGTGTCACATAATCATTGTGAGAGAAATAAAGATAGACATCTACACAGAGATGAAATGGTAGTAGTATTAGTGCGCCCCCTGTGGACAAAGAGATACTTCATTTCCCCTTGTATATCTCTTCATCAGGTCTTCAGCATATCTTCTCCTGTTTCATATGTATCACTCAACCTCCAGTTTATCACTGTCTTTAACATCAACCCCCTCCTGTGACTTTAGACTTTCAAAATAACTACATAGAAATTGTCCCTCTTTACACTAATGGCCTTGTTTGTTGACGGCTGAGTGGTTTAAGTGCGACCCATATGCGCAGGTTTGATCCTGCTTCTTTCCTGCACCTCACTCCCTGCTCTCTCTCTCCCAAAAGACCCAAAAATAGATTTAGAAGAGAATAAAATCCAGTTTCTTAATGAACTACATATTCTCAAGTAAGCTGTAAATGGATAGACTGAAGTTAAGCACGGGAAATGTTCAAAAATAACACCTACAATAAAATTCAAGTTAGTCTCTCACTTAAAATCTATTTCACCATATTTCAGCGTCGACCCTCGTGGTCCATAGCCTTGCTTCTGTGCAGGAACTCCAGCCAGTTTCTCAACAGAGGGGCTAAGACGACTGACGTCCTCTGTGGGTAACACACTCGCTAGTAGCAAGTACCTCAAACAACCCCACGTCAAAGAAACTCTGGATTTAAGTGACGAGTTTGTGAAGAAGTCTCTCTACGGCATTGTGGAGTTTCTCAGACTGAAGAGTACTCTTGAGGTTTTCTCTGATCGCATGTATCATTTAGTGACTTCAGATGTTACTGAGGGACCAGGACTGAGAGAATACAGTATGTGCAAGAGAAGCTCTCAGACGAGAACCACAGGTATGAGGATTAATGTATGATCCTTTAATGTGTGTGGTGTTAACAATCCTCAATACTGTGTTTAAATCTGAGCTGATAATATTGGGCAGATTTTTCTGTTTCCATGAGAACATTCATGTACGACTGAGACAGGATCTCTGCAGGTTTCAACAAGTCAAATTTAAGACTTTTTAAAGACTTTTTTAAAGACCTATTTAACATCCATACTGGTAAAAAAGTACAAAAGACATGAAGGGAAATCAGAACATTTAAAATTATTTCAAAATAGGGCTGCACGATTGTTCCCAAAAATAAAATCCATAACTTTTTTCTCTGAAAACTCGATTTTAGATTAAATTTTTTATTCAGCAACAACTTCACCAAACTTCACTTTAAAATTAAAGTTTCTTTGAAAAACGAAACCACTGAAAATGATATAAAAAAGACAGAAGAAGAGTACAGAGCATGCATATAAAGTGTTTTTGGCCGGGCACGCACAGGCACCATAAAAGAGTTTCGCTGTGTGTCACATGATCGTTTCCAGAGATGCAGATCCACATCCACACAGAGATGAAATGGTCGTCATTTATGGATTTATCCACTCTCTGACATGTTTTCAAAAAGTACAGTTTACAGTCACCCGAAACGCCGCTTCTGTGTGGATGAAACGCCGATACGACTAAAAACTTTTGTGTTTACTTCTGAAAGTTTCCGTGTGGATGGGTTGATACTGCCTATAGACAGACTTTGCAGCGTTAAGTGGTTTGCTCTTCGTCTGAAACTGTCAAGCCGTACTAATTCAACACGACTGACTCGCTCTTGTCCTATTTAGCCACGAAATTATCACCTTCTTTTGCAAACGCCATGTTTGTTTACACTGGGGAGCGCTCTTACAGGAAGGGGAAGCCTACGGTGGCCTGGCGGCGCGAGACATAATAGAGAGGAAAATCGATTTGATGATTTATATTTTTTGATCGTCATAATCAAATAATCTGATTACAATTAAAAATTGATTAATTGTGCAGCCCTACTATAAAGAAATCTATATTCCTATGGCTTGTTATCTAGTTTTTTTTAACATTTTTAAGACCTTTTAAAATCGTAAATAAGACATTTTATGAGATTTTAAGAGACTTTTAGACACTTTAAGGCCTTAAATTCAAATTATTGGACTTTAGATGTTTTAAGACTTTTTCAGACCCTGCAGAAACCCTGTTAGACACTCAGTGTTATGTCTCTACATTAGTACAGTTGCTGTGACAGCATTTTAGTGGAATAAATGGTTCAGGAAACAAAACCACAACCACAAGTTTGGCCCACTGCACACACTTCTGTCTGTGTTTGTGTGTTCTGTATTTAAGTTTTGCCCTTTTACAAAAAATAATAAACTTTATGAACAAACAGTATCTTCAGAGTTATGAGATTAAAGAGCCACTATGAAGAAGGTCTATCGTGTTTGTTCATATCCCTGCATACCTGCTCTGTTATCCAGCCCAGATGTTTGACCTCCACACCTGGCTGCATGCTCTTCAACTCCTCCTTCACTCTCGGTAGAAGGTTGGCAGCGCCCGCCTGGATGGCGTTGTACCAGGACTGGGCCATGGCTGGATCTTTCGCCCGCAGGAACACAGAGTTCTTTCTGTTGGATGAAATCACCTCAAAATACCTGGAAGAACAGATGAGAGGAGGAGAGAGGAAGAAGAAGAAAAAGAGGGGCAGTTAGAGAAATGAAGGACAAACAGCAAAGAGAGAAAAGCTTGAGGCTGGAGAGGAAGTTTCAGACGCTAACAAAGAGAATATGTAAGCAAGACGGTCTATTCCATTATTCTCTGTAAGTCGTTTTCTATTTTCAGGTCCGACTCCTTTAGATTTTTCATTTCATCGAAAATTGATCAATCATAAACCTGTGATTCATAGAAGAGAGCCGAGAACCCTTCAGAGAAGTACCTGTTTTCTGTGTCTGGAGGGCACTGTTTTCGTGTCACCTGGCACATCTTCAGCGGGATGCTGCGGGGCTCCTTCACTTCAGCAGGCGAGGGCTCGGTGCCCCTCTGGGGTGTGGAGGGGGGAGACTCCCAGGGGAGGCCGGCACCAGGGGACCCCGAGCTCTTAAAGAAGGCTGACATCTCCTTGATGTATTTCACTGAAGCAGAACGAAAAAGTGCGAGAGAAAAAGAGAAAATTAGATAAAGAGGACAGGCGGAAGAAGTAAAAGAGGCAGAGGAGGAGAAGGAGGAGGAGGAGAGGAATTTTGGATATGAGGATGAAGCCTTCAGGTTCACAGAGGAGTTGAAAAACTGTAGCAGCACTTAAGAACAGCTTGAAAGAGAATCTGCAAAAAAAAATCTGTCACCAAAGATTTCCCCGCCGCTGTACCGAGCTGATCGTGCAAGAAAAAAGTTTCCTAACAAAAGCAACAGAGGCAAATCCTCTTCATCACGTAAACCGAGACAGTAAGACTTACAGGAGTAGATCAGAGAGAACTTACACACCGCTTTTGTCAAGGTGAGATATTTACCTCCACTACTACCTGACGCAAAGGGGCGAAATAGTCAGAGGAAGTACCAGAGGCAGGATGGGCCAAAGACCGGTGATGTATCGAGGTGGAGGCAGAGGGCAGGTACCCTCTTGCGCTTCTGCAGTGCAGCTAAAAGATGTGTAATCACACTGAGACACTAACCGTTTCAGGGCGCGTTGTGTAAATACAAAGTCATACTCCGTTCCAGTGCTGTTGCAGAGTTGCAGGGCGTAAGAGGCAAGTGTCTCCCACACACTGACCATCCCTGTGGGCCGAACGAGTATATTTTCAGTCCTCCAAGAATACTGACTGAGCATTTTTACATTTTTATTTATATCAGTACGAGATTACCGTCCGCAATAAACGAACAAAAAAAAAACTCTTGTTGTGCTCTGTCCTCTGGGTCCAGCGATCTGCTGAGCCTTAGACACGCTCTGCTGCAGGTGATCAGAGAATCAGAGACAGAGAGGTAGATCGCCCCACTTGTTGATGCAAAGCTAAAGTTAAAATGGACCACTGTTTTAAAAGTTATGAGCAATCAGTTGCTTCACACACTCTAAAAGAAGTTGGAAAATAAAGCATACATGTTTCCAAGCCACTTATTCCGGAACTGCCTGACATCAGACAGTGGATCTGCTGCTGTTTTCAACAAATGTTGAAAATGTTTTTACATTTGAGACTTTTTTGATGTCATTCGTTTTCTTCATAACCTACCGCTCAAACTTGTGGTTGAGTATTTCATTTGACTACTCCAACTGGTGTTCTCAAGACAAAATTAGTCAATAATATAGATTGGAAGTACTTGTCAACGATGTCGTCATCTGCTGAGCCTTCTTGGTCATTTCTGTCAGTCAATATCGATATATATCACGATATAAAAAATGAAATTTTACAGTGTTTATTGGTTGCATGTCTTTTGCAATACAATAATCTCCTGCATCTGTGAGGTCTTTGTGACCATATTTTATATTGATATTGAGGGAAATTAAGTTTCGATTAATATCGTTATTGTTATCGTTTTATCGCCCAGCCCTAATTGGAATTATATTATTTTTCATCAGGACTTTTGGCGTTATCGCCAGAATGAAAAATCTTATTGTGATAAATTTTTTAGCCCATATCGCCCATCCAATGGAAATTTCTCTCTTGGTAAATCTGCTCATCCAGGGGTAAGAAAACACTCGTGAAAACATCAAAATTGGACACAATTTACTCAACCCTGCCTAACACAGGATAAGAGGTCCTTCAGGTCAACTACATCAGATCAAGTTTGCAGAGTGTGGCTAACATTAGCACAGACACTCCAATTAATTGTATTTGATCCATTGCTGCAATTAATGCTCACTGGGAAAAAGTAATGCTTGTGTTGTCATGACAACAGGAGTCAATTCAGAGATGATCTCATCAGGACTGAATGTACAGTTCTCTGTATGATTGACGACATACAGAACAGAGGGTAGAGAGCATGGCATTGGTTTTAAGGGGTAATAAAAAAATCAGATAGAGATCAAATCACACTTAGCACTTTATTTAGAATCAAAACTGCTGACACACACGCTTTAAACAAAATTTCTGTTCCACTTTAATAAGTATGAAAAGCATCAGAAGCTTCCAAATTTTTAAAGAGAAAAGGTTACATCATAACTTCTTTAAAAGTACAGCCTCTGGTGGTTTTATTTCCCTGAAACTAAAACACCCCCATCCGTATTTGTGACTGCAGCACCACAGATTTAATTTTTTATTAGATAGCAACATCAGAGGCAGAGGACAGGGAAGGAGAAAGAGAGCCTGGTACCAAAGCTTCCTCGCTGGAGAGGTACCAGGGTGGCTGATCATCGCCCCGGCTTTCATGGTCATGGTTCTCTAGAATGAAATGTTTGTCTGATCTAGTCTTATAAATTAATTTGTGCTAACACTTTGGCAAAACTCCCAGTTTCACTCTGCATACATCCTCTTTTAAATGCATTGTTGTTTTTTCAGCACGCATGTACACCTACAAACACATCTGCATTGAGCACACAACAAGAAGTACACACATGGCCTCAGCTCCAGTCCAGCAGGCTGTGGTCTGACTTTGGCAGAAGTAGCCACAGCTTGGAGTAAAAATAGCCCAGAGGACATGGCAAGGCATGAGGCCGAAGGCTGAAGGCAGGGCTCTGGTTTCACTGGGGATGTGTGAAGTGCTCTTCTCGCACAGTACAAGAGGCGTGTAGCCAGAGGGCGAGCTGAAGAGCCGCAGACGACAAGGCATCAGGAGTGAGAGAGGGGGCTTCCACTGGCCCCCGAAATAGAGCTCCGTGCTCGCCAGTCCGGCAGGCAGGCAGCCACACGCTTATTTGTTAAAACATCGAGTACATCATATCTCAGACCGAGAAGTGGCTCTTTCCTTTTTATGGTTTTATGACACTATAAACAGCTTACTAAATCAGATTTGTGTTCCTGTCTTCTATCAGGAGGTGGCAGAGTGACTCAGTGATTTAAAAATGAGGGTCGACACGACGGTAAGTTTGGAAATATCTTTAGGAAACATTCAGAGCCACCCAAACACACCTACTCTCTACGTTTAGACATTCAGTCTGTAGTTCTGTTTGTTAACGGTGAATTTGAGTTCCTCACGCTGCTCTCTGCTGATTAAAAGGATCGTGTTCAATGTTTGAAGGACAGAGCTGCCACAGATTTAAGTGACCTCTGACCAGAGAGGAGAAGCTCATGAAGAGCGAGGTTACACTGTTCACTTGTCAACCAGCAGAGCAAAATAATAATAATAATGCATCAGATTTCATGTAGCGCTTTATCAGAGACCCTCAAAACGCTTTCCATTGGATACATCACTCATTCGCTCACACAGTCACATCCTGGTGGTGGTAAACTACCTTGGTACTCACAGCTGTCCTGGAACAAACGAAGAAACATGGCTGCCAGTTTGCTCCTACAACCTCTCCGACCACCACACAACACTCACAATCATACACCAGTGGAGGACACACACTGGGAACAAGGTGGGTGAAGTGTCTTGCCCAAGGACACAATGGAGAGACTCGGGATCGGGGGGAATCGAACTGCAAACCTACCGGTTGTTGGACGACTGCTCTACCGCCTGAGCTACTGCCGCCCCATTTCACACCACACTTTCAAAATCAAAGCGTGTCATTTAGCTTTTAATGAAAACTTCCAGTCTTGAGGTCATTGCACACCAGCGAATAACCAAAGCGACGTGAAAATGTAAAATATTCGGCTTACGCCTTTTCCTACACATACCTGATGCGACGCGAACAAAATTCACATATTCGCATAAAAATACGTCATGGGAGAACAGAGGGGGTGAGAGAAGAAGGAGAAACAACGGCGACTACTTCCTCAAGTGATGATGACCTGGTCATGGTTGTAAGCTGATGAAATAACAAAAGAAAAGAAGAATCGAAGTGTCTGGGTACAGCTAAAACTGACCTTACGACAGGAGATGGGGGAGTTCTACACAACGATCTAGGAGCTCAAATTGTGTCCCGAGAAATTCTGACAATACTTCAGAATATCCCTCGGACAATTTCAAGGAACTGCTCCATCAGCTGACTCCACGTTTGCAGAAAGAGAGGACAAATTACAGAGAGATGATCGATCCAGTGCAACAGCTCACCACGTCTGAGGTAAGATTTATATTAGGCTGAAGATTTATAGAGCCGTTTGAAAGTGAATGTTCATAAAATTTGCTACAGGGGGCAAAAAAATTAGCTGCTTTTTCGCTCTCCAGAAGTTCGTAGCCAGTGTGGAAGCTTGAACTGACTTTACGAGGTTTAAAAAAAGTGAATTATTGTGACCTTTATCTGAGATACAATCCCAAATTCACACTGCACAGTAAATCCTGACACCCACTTCGCCCACTTTGGCTCCAGCTCGGTCCTCAAACTGTTTGCTTTTTAAATTGCAAAGTACTTTCATTCACTCCAAATGTTGCAGAAATGTTACGTGATCTTGAGTAAGAGAACATGTTGAAAACTGTTGTCGGACAGTTTATTTTTCCCTCTCCAACATGATGCAAGCATTTTAAAAGCAGCAGAGCATTTAGGGATTACAGAGCGTGTCTGGAGGAGACTTAAATTGCTGCTCCTGAGGGCGCGACCTTAATGCTGGTAACTGTAAACATACAGTAGCTTCTCTGAGTCAGCAGAGGATTCACTGTCTCTGCCGGCTCTTCTTCTGAAGACTCTTACAGTTCTCAAAAATATTCTCCTTGGACTATCATCCCAGCCAGGTCTACCCATTTACCAGAGGTCACTGCTTCTCAGTTCGGTCTGTTTTTTCAGCCGAAAGCCTTTAGCCTTCTCAGGTCTCCTCTCAAATCTATAAAGAATCATTTTGGAAAAGAACTTTTGATAAAGTTTTCTGCCTCTCTCTCTCTCTTTCTTTCTCTCTCCCCTCTTCTCCTTTCCTCTGTCAATCAGTCACTCCCTCTCCCTCTTTGCTGGTTTCACAGCATCCTTTTTCATGTACAGTCAACCAGACTGGTTTCCTGGGGCAAACATTTACAACACAAACACACACAGTCTGGGTTCGACACAAACAAATGCTCTCAAGCCACCAAGTGTAAGCACACAAACAACCATGAATGTGTCTGAGCTTCGGGAAGTTCTATCAGTTTCAGCTTATAGACTGAAACTTCCCAACACTTTAACGCAGTTTATTTGCATCTATTCAAATCTCTAACATAGCTTCTTTTGTCTCTGAAATTGTGAATCAGTGTGCTGTCGACCTCAGTCTTGAAAATCATATTTAAGGACTTTTTAAGAGATTCTAGACATTCTGAGGCCTTTAATTCAAGTTATTGGATTGTAGGCCTTGTAATTGTATATAAACAGGTAAACAGTAAAATTGATTTGCACTGCCAATACTCTGATCATGTGAAGCTAACACTGTTGTAGGGCTGCACGATTAATTGATTTTAAATTGTAATCAGATAATTTAATTATGATTATGTTAAAAAAATTTAAATCGTCAAATCGATTTTTCTCCCTATCATGTCTTGCACCTCTAGGCTACCATAGGCTCCCCAGTTCCCAAACACACCAGTGTAAACAAACATGGCGTTTGCAAAAGAGGGCAATCATTTTGTGGTTAAATAGGACAAGAGCAAGTCAGTCGTGTGGAATTGGTACGACTTCACAGTTTCAGATGAAGGGCAAACCACTCCCCGCTGCAAAGACTGTCTGAAGGTGGTAACTTCAACCCGTCCACATGGAAATGAATTAGGAGTAAATGCTTATGTTTTTTGTCTTAGCGGCGTTTCATCCACACGGCAACAGCATTACGAATGACTGTAAACAGTACTTTTTTAAAAACGGGTCAGAGAGTGCATAAATCCGTCAACGTCTCCGTTTGGATGCCCATCTGCCTCTCTTGAAACGATAATGTGACACACAGTGTGACTCTTTTATGGCGCCTGCACGTGTCCGACCAAAACAACCTCATTTGTGCATTTCCTGTCATTTTGTGCAGCGGTACTTATTGGCTTGGCATATGCACTAGATCCTTTTCAGTGGTTTTGTTTTGAGAGATGATAGAAAAACTTATTATTGAAGTGAAGTTTGGTGAAGTTGTCACTGAATAAAAACTCGAAAATCAAGTTTCCAGAGAAAAAAAATCTAGATTTTATTTTTGGTCAAAGTCGTGCGGCCCTACACTGCCGATACTGACCTTATCTCCATATTCTTAATCAAAACATTTACAAACTGCACCTTGCTATGAGATGTCCCTGTTATTCCAGTAAGACTAAACCTGTTTCTGAGTTCGGCTTCGTCTTTGTTTCATGCCTGCCAGTTGTTTATTTTGTGTATGTAGCTATCTGCACTCAAACCCACCTCATATGACCCTCATGCATTTAAATGCTCGATGAAAGTTTCCCCCTGAGAATTCCTCTTGTTTACTTGCTCAATTTACACGTGCAGCATCAGCTGAATGTACTGTGGGAATATGAGCATTAGCGGAGAAACTAAAGATACGGGGGGATGTGTAGTCTGAGAGCATGTATCAAGCTGTGAGTAATCATTCTGTACCAGCTCCAGCTTTGAAGTATGTGTCAACTTGCATACGTAATGTTTCATGGAAATGAGCTTCTGTCCATTTGTTCCCGTGCCAAAGCATTGATGTTTGTACCACTGGGTAGCCAACTGCTTCCTTGTTGCTGGACCATGGCCATTCAAAATGGATGTGGTCAATCTCAATATGGCAGGGTAGGTCAGAAGACTGGGCAGGGGAAATGAAAACGCTTACATTATTGTGACAAGTGGCGGCTTTGCGACAACACGGGACGGGAAGGAGTCGCAGGTTACATCAAAGTCGACTCCTGTGTGACAGCAAAACAAAAGTTTCTTTAAAAGTTGTTCATAGAAAGTCGGGAGAGGGAAAAAAAAGGTAAGCTAAGCTGTAGGTGGTAATATCTCAAGCACTATTCTTAGCAGTCATTACTCTTTGTTATGTAAGCCTGAGTTTAAGTCGGTGTTTTCTTGCTGCACAAACTGCAGAGCTGAATAAGCTGGGGAAAACACCAATCATAGCAGGTAAAAGGCGATATTTACTTTCCAAAGAGGCTTTTCTTTTCTCCAAAGAGCGATGTGGAAATGATCGCATTGGTGTTTCCCAGATTAGAAATGTCAGGCATTAGCTATGTGACCCCCACATAACAAATCGGATGAGATTGTGGTGAATGAAATAGAGACAGAGAGAGAGAGAGAGAGAGAGAGAGAGAGACGGGAATTGAAGGGGAGGTGGAAAAGGATGAATAACACAGAGAGGAGAGAGAGACAGGAAGTACAAGTTGAGAGAAAGAAAAGAGAATAGGAAAAAATGAGACGGGTAGAAAGAGAGAGAAAGAGAGAGAGAGAGAGCGAACACACACAGCTAAGCTCAGCCAGAAATGTTGCCATGAATACCAGTGGCGGCACATTCAATACAGAGCTAAAATTAGCTGAGATGGCACTGTTATTACTTTAGCTTATCTGGCAGCCAGTGAAACTACTTTTGTACTCAGCGTCTGTGTGTGTGAAAGTGTGTGTATGAGGCGTTTCTCTGCCTCTTCTGCAGAATCTGCCACCAAGCTTTTCCCACTTAAGTCTTTACATTGAACCTCACAAATCCTGACCAGAAGTTTTTCAGCCATTTCAGTTTGACACAATTCACTTAACCACCGTTTGAAAAGCTCGTTCTTCACCAGTTCTCCAGTCGGCCCGATCTGCCAAAACAAAAGTTGGGGTTTTATAGCTGCGTCTCGCCGATACCCTCCATTGTGCTGACTGGTGAATATGCTTGTGAATACGCCTAACCCAATGAGAAAACCAAAGGGCAGGTATTCTTCCAGCATTAGCATGCCTCTCAGTCAAAAGTACCCTTGGCCTGTCAAACAAAGCTCTCAAGCTAAATGCCAGCCCCTCTTCCTCTCGATGCCGGTTGCCGTGGGAGCTGCAGGAATGTTATTGGCCAGTCAACGACCTCGGAGGCATGCTGTTGGCTCTGTAAACCATGTCAGGAGAAGAATGTCCCGATGTTACGCCACCAACAAGGGAAGATGTCCCGCGCCAAAACAAGATCATAAATAACCTTAAGGGCTATAAAGGACTTGCTGTTTTAAATCATTAAATCAGGGTCGATCAGGGAAAACACTCATTCATTTGATTATCTGATTTAAATGCCAATTACAAAGTATGTGGTCTAGATATTTTTGTCATTTAAGGAGTCCTTACAGACCATGTGGTATGTCCTCTGTACTTGGTGATTTGTTCGGTAAAGCGTAGATAATTTTTATTTAACTTAAAATATCACTCTCTTCTATTTGTGGGCTTATCACAACATTCACTGAGGAAAATGTGAGAAAAAAATTGTTTCCTAAAGGTATACTCCGGTGTAAGTTTAAGTCATGGTCAAACACACGGTAACATCAAGTTAGACACCCCCTTAGAGAGATGAATAATGCCGACTTCTTTCTTCTCTAGTTATACCAATTTTAGTAAAGACCACACAATAGCAATACACAGCGGTCTACGTCTCCACTCTATAGCCACAAATAATGCTCAGAACAGCACCTAACTTCATCAACAGTACATATAGGGTCCCAGCCATAGTACTAGCCACCAAACATCTTTTTAGCTTTGCCGAATTTCTTTACCAAAGAGACTAAACACATCTGACCCACTCTCCTCTAGCAGCCGCTTGTTTGTGGGGGAGCCCTGATAAGTCAATCACCAAGTGCAGCGGAGTTTCGCAGCTCAAGGAAGAAAAATTGACATTATTACTTCATGGAAATGATTGCATTTTTATGAAGTAATAATCATCATAATCATCATTTTGCACAGCAGACACGGTAGTTCTTCTGCTTTAGCCTCTTAGAGTGATTGCATTTCAACTTTCAACTGCAAGTATTTACAGGAAAGTAATGACTGCTAACAATATTTACATGCAGCTAATGAAAGTGAGATAAGCATATCTGACTCCAGGACAATACTACCCTCTTATTTTCATATCAATTATATCAATTTAATGTACAAATCAGTAATTTTAATGGATTCTTTCATGCAACTGTAAGTTATTTAAATCCGTGTCAAGAGTTCAGCACCAATAAAATATGATGTTTGTTTTCTACTAGTGTTGTGTCGTTCAAGAAACGATCCATTCAAAAGAACTGAATCTTTTAAGTGAAAGTACAGAACCGAATCACTTCCTCGAGTGATTCCTTCATTTCTCACTTCAGTTGAGCTGAAGCCGGTGACTGAGGGACCACATGCACCGACACCTGAATCACTTGGTGAACAAATCACTCATTGAACTTCACTCTCTGGAATCATTTCTGTCGGACAAAACTATCTTTTTTTTGTTACTGCTAAATTGCCACCACAACAACTTGCATACAATAGGACACAGCATGTAACAAGTACTGCATTATCCCACAGCATCCTATCATTGCCGTGCCCATCACTATTTTCTACTCGGTCTTTCCAAATGCTGTATGTTTTTCGGGTCTGTTTTTTGGGGCATGTACGTACATGAACAAATAAAATAGTGCATGTTCACGCCTCCCGGTGAGCTCATGTGCCGGTTTTATGTGTCTCCAGTGTCTCTCTGATTAAAGTGTGTGTCTCTCGCTGGCAGCGTCAGTCAGCTGAAGATTCCCCCTGCTCTGAATGAATTAGATAAGTTCATCTTTGCTATAGCCCATCTCATTAAAATCATGGGTAAATGCCAACCTCAGGGGGTGTAAGGTATGGTGTGAGGGAGGCTGAGAAAGAGAGAAAGAGCACACCCAATCAGAATTTTAAACTAATTCACATACTGCCAACGTGCAGATTTGATTACTTTGCATAGTGTGTCAGGAGAGTTAATTATCCTAATTCAACAAAGTATAAGTGAAGGAAACTTGAACAGGATCTGGCAGAGGACAAGAGCAGAGTGAGAGGAGGTTTAACTGCAGACATTTCCACTTTACTTTCCAGCTCTATTTTTTTTTCCTATTTTGTGTCTGGAGAGATTTGCTTCCTGTCTGAAAACACAATTTTCCGTTTATAGGTTCATGTAGATTTGCTTAGTGTGACTCAGTCAGATTGATCACTCGCTGTGCGTTTTATAAAAAAACTCATTTCCAATTTGTTTCGATTCGAAATGACGAATTGAAGGTGATTGTAAACATCAGCCTCTGGATTCAAACAGCAATTGGCTTGAAAACACCTCTACATGGTGGTTTTTCCAATATCTCTGAGAAGTTACAATATGTTCCTTAGAATGATGCTTTAAATTACAGACAAACTGGTGGCTGCGTGGTTGAAATCAAAGCAGACATACTGAGTTTCCAGCTTTAAAATCAAATTGTAAAAGATGAGTTTGTCTCGCACGTCAGCAAAATGTTAAAGACGCTGATGTGCAGACACGATATCTTAAATTTCTTTTTATTTATGGTTGTATACATTAGCTCCTTCTTCATCTCGCCATGCACTGCCTCCTATTTCCATGAATCTCCCCACCCCCTCCTCTGTCGCCAACATACACACAGTGAGATGCTCCAGTGGAGTCTGAGCCTGTAATGAGCCCAGAGAGCTGCACAAAGACCTCACCACCAGTTTATATGGGGCCCCAGATCAGGGCGGTGGGGCTCAGAGGGGGCCTGCTAAGCAAACCTGACGCTGCAGAGGGACAGAGGGGTCAGAGGAAGGGCTGTGATTTAATAAAGCAGTGTTATTTCTGAGGGTTAATCCATCCCCTTACTGAATCAAAGCAGAATATACCCACGGGCCAGCAGCAGCTCTGGAGGAAGAGGAACCCAGCAATGGGTCGACAGGTTTGAACGGTGAAGACAGACGTCAACTATGATAACATCTAAACTGTTGTTTGAATAATATGTCTCCCTAATTTGCAAAAATCAATCAAAACACACCTGGAGAGTAGGGCTGCACGATTTTGGACAAAAATAAAATCCCTACCTGCTCCGTCTGATCTATCTACATGTATTCACAAAGTATCTTTGCTCTCTAATCTTAGTTTCTCTGACCCTCAGCTCAGTATAAATTACACTTTTTCACAACAATGTAAAATAATGCATCAATAGTTATCTCACATGTAGTATCAGCTCATTAAAGTCGAATCATGTACACTTGTGCGTCCCTTATAGGGCTGGGCGATAAACCGAAAATTTGCAGATACTGAAATTTACGACAATGACCAACGTCATTTTGCCAATGTCAATATATTCTGTGTCATAGGCCACGATAGGACATCCCTCATGTCCCTTTAAGATGCTGTCCTACATTGGAGTCGTGACTCCACCCCAATTAGTGCGTAACAAAGAGGGAAAGACAGATGAGGAGATGGAGGACGGTCCAACAGTTGTAGCGGCTAGAGCGGTGTGGGAGGGGGTGAGCAGCTTGTGGAGTAGTTATCGTCCATTTATCGTTATCAAGGTGAACTGATCAATATATCATGATATTGATTTGAGGCATACTGGTAGAAAGTTTTCAACAAACTGTAGTTTCTTTTTTAGTAATCTGCGTTTCGCTAAAGACAAAGTAAGTCTTTTCCAATGTGTATCAAGGTGACCATTTAAGAGAACTTATAACAAGAAAGTGAGAAGAAGCACTTTCCTTAAAGTACTCAGTAAGTATACAGTACATAACATCGGACACGCTTCTGTGTCCCGAGAAGACCCACATGTTTTTGTGCTAGAAGGTAATAAAACACCAATTTGCCCAGATCAATACAAGGATCCCTGAACTGAACTTTTAACTGTTCAACCAGGAAAGAGGAGCTGTGCAGACAAAACAGAACAGACATAAACTTTACGAGGCCTGTATGAGACAGAATAAAGTAAAACATACTGTACTGTAACTCCAAACTGTTTAATTAGAATTTCTTCTGTTTCACCAAGTGGCTTCTGTCCATCAGCGGCTGTCGACTGAAAATGTAAAGATAACTTTTATTTTATATAAGAAGATAAAACAGCAGCAGTTTTTCACCCTGGGTCAGAGAAGGTTAACTGAAAAACTCCGTCAAAAGAGCCAAAAAGTTCAATTAAACTTCATCCTGTTGCCTTTACTCTATTTCAGACCTATTAGATCTCCTCTCTTCACTGAAGTGTTTTGCAAAACATGGCGCTATCTCCAAAATGATACATCTGAAATTAAAAAGGATTCTTTATCTCTTTGTAGATAAAAAAAGTCCCTTGTGAAAACGTCTTTTTAATCAAAACTATTAGACCAGAGGAGACGCAGCTTTGTAGGGAAGTGGAGGAGTTGTCTGAGGGGTTCAGTCAGGCTTTATTTTTTAAAGGAGTAATTATACTGTCACAGGAGCACGGGGCAGAAAGTTTTAATTAGAAGATGAAGTACTACACATGTCACTGGTAAAAGTCCAGGTTAGTGAAGGTAGTTTTTAACGTCACCTTGTTTCCTTTAAATGACGGCTAACTCAACGCTACACCTGAGAGCGCTCAGAAGCATTCATGTCTTTGAATTTTGAGCCACCTTGATCTTGATAACCTTCTCAAATGTGCCATGTGCGTATTTGCTGTGCACGGACATCAGTCAAACATCCATGTTTGATTTAATTTGGTATATGCAGATACAATTCTCAGCAGGCAATTAGACTGACAGGCAGATTGAATCAAGACGGAGCAGACAGAAAATTTAAAAGCACGTCCAATCAAAGGCTGAAGATTGCCCATCTACTTTTGAAAGAAGTGCTTTCATCTGCAACAGATATTGCTGTGACAATGTCTTATGGACGCTCCTCTTCTACGACTGACAGGCCATTTGTGCTGAAAAAAAAAAAACATGGCTATTTTTTTTTTTTTTGCCATTTTTTAAAAACTCATTTCATTAGGTTGCAGGAAAAGTCAGCAAAGCAAGCAAAGACAGCAGACTGAGCCCCCGTGGCAAAGGACACACAAGTGACTGTAGCAATCCAGCATGACAAGCTATCCAAGCGATGTTCAGGGACAGAATGAAATGTACTAATCCTGTAGGTCCGACTCAGAGGAGAGGGGGAAAAAAACACAGGGCTCTAGTGATGCAGACAACAGCTTTTTGACACAACCGTCCTTTAGACGACACAACAGCGACGGTCAACTAAGTTTATTGAAAGTCAGGATGTGTGAGAAGGGCTGGATAAAAACTTTGGTGCAAGCTGTGTCAGACAGGAACAACCATAGGGAGTCAGACTATGTAATGATAGAGCTGTTAACCATGTTAAACAGCATGGTTCACATGAAGAAGCATAGAAGAGGATAGACCATAGACTGTATATACTAGGGCTGGGCAATATGGGAAAAAGTTTATCACGATATATTTTTTTTCATATCAGTCGATATCGTTATAGATCACAGTATAAAAAATGAAATTCAACAGTGCTTATTGGTGGCATGTCTTGTGCAATACAATAAGCTACTGCATCTGGGAGTTCTGGGAGTCTCTTTGACGTTTTGTTGTAAGAGACATGGCAGAATCCCTGTTAGAAAGCCCATGTTGTTTAGATGTTTTCAAGTAAATACCATTCAGTTATATTGTGTTTTACAGTGAGTCACCCAGCAAGGAGGCAGGTGGCGTCCATCCTATATGTGGTCTATGGATGGACCCAGTTGTGGATGTAAATGTACCATGTGTACAGTAAAGTTGACAGAATTACGGAACAATGCAACAAAGTCCTATGCTATGATTTTTGCTTTCATGATTTCTGCCAAAAGACAGATGTGCGGGCACCCTGGCTGTTCTCATCTTGGCAGTGACTTTAATTCTTTGACTTTCACTCATTTTCCTGGATTATACCTGTCACATGAAATAAAGCAGCAATCTTCATAGAGGCTGGCAGTAAAAGTCCAGGTAAATTCAGGACCAAAAAAAGAAAAGTCCATCAAAACTCTCCAGGAACTTTTCTTTGGGAGTTTTGTGCATGTATGAATACAGCAAGTGGGACTCCTGGAAACACCCCTAATCTAAGTCATGCAGTTGCCCCCAAAGAGTTGAAGAGCTGACTCAGATCCTTGACTGAGGCAACTTTACCTTCAGAGCCCGGCTTCTTAAGATCCCATGAGCCTCCCTGGCTACCTGTCTGGCACAGTCCAAAAAAAGACAAGCGTAACCCTTTTGAAAAACTAGCAGAGAAAGTTTGTGTTTTTGTGCTTCTTCAGAGATCCGCTTTGTGTTTGCAGCAGACACACAGTGTGCTGGCTGAACTTAAACAAGAAGAACTTCATACAAAGTATGAATGGTGCTGACAATCTTCCCGGCCGCCTGCTGTGTTTCAATGAGGCTGTTGAAAACTTACTCCCCTAAGTCATTATACTCCATAAATCACTCTCTTAACCAGACTTGAATCAGTGTGGGGAGATAGGCCTGGAGTGGATCTCTCTGCTGGCCTTGCTCAAAAGGACTTAATGGTATGTATCTTCCTGTGAGAGGCTATATCATCCACACATGTCCTTGTAGAGCGAGATTGGAGATAAGCGATGCAGTTTTTAGCCATCAAAGCAAAATGTAACTGAAACTGCTAATCTGCAGTCTTTGGCTTTCCGAAGGGCTTCCTGTACCATGCTAGCGGCAATAACTGGAATGATATTGACGTACAAGTATGAGCCGCTGTGACACACAAGCTGTATGCGTGCATGCACATCTGCGAAACGAGCATGGTCACTTTAAGAGTATTGTGCAGAGAGGTGCAAAAGTTGAAAGAGTGTGAAAAGAAAGGAGAGAGGAAGAGAAAGAGAGATTAGGTTTGGGGTTAGCTCTGGTTGAGAACGCTGACGAAGCATCCTTCAGTGAACACTCATCAGCGACCCAAATGAACCTCTTCAAACCTAATCTCACCTCAGGCACTCCTGAAACACATTCTCACTTCTGCATATTGAATGTTCATATTCTGACAGTCTCAATAAGCCGTATTAATGCTTCCCCACTTCCTGAGACACTGGAGTCACTTTTATACCAGAGAAAAGTCAAAAGTGCAAACACAGTGTCCCCTCGGACCGATCGATATCACGGGAGATAATGGATCTTAGATTTGACATGTAGCATGCATAACAGGCATGATCAGGCGGTTCGAATCAATGAGCAATCACATGGAAATAGAAACTAATCACACAGAGATTCATCGCCTGATAGAAAATGTAACGATCACGTCAACAAATCAGCTCAGATGTCAAACTGCATCCCAACACTTCCATTTTTGATGTATTTGTCAATTCTTTTCCAACATCCCTAAAACATTTCAGTCATTTTCTTTGCACATCGGGGTCCATAAACAAAAAAAAAGGTTGTTCAATAGTTCGTGTTTACACATTAGCCAACAGTCTGATGTAGATAACACAAATCAGGCGAGCAGGTCAGGAAAAATATGTCCCCAAAGACACTAACCCTGCAGAGAGAAATTCTAGAAAGAGGGAAGACTGCGACTGTAGAGCCTCCACAGCTAAGCCTACTTAATCCATGTGTGTGAGCGCACTGAGCCTGAGCACAACTACCTTAATGAAAAGGACAGGACAGAAAGAAGTGTCCAGAAATGTCTTGGCAGAGGAAACCAGCCCTTTCTCATTCTGTCCCCTCCCTCTCTTTAACGTACACACACACATACACAAACACACACAAGTGCAGAGACAGGCACAGAAAATTATGTCCCCCAGGATATCCGAGTAAATTCTGCTAAAATTTAGGCTGACATTAAGCTAATACCCTTAAAAAGCACAAAATGAACCTAACAGTATGAAACAAGACTAACTTTTTCAGCAGAGCGGGAACTTACTTTTCCTGCTGCAGTCGATTTAGGTGCCAAGAGAGAAACTGTGAACCCGAGTGTAAGGTACAATAATTCACACAATGTTCCCTCTCTTTATATCAATCTGAAAATTCAAGGTGCTTTTGTCGTAGTGTATAGACAAAGAAAAGATCGCTGTATTCTTTCTTTAAAATTACAATTTTTTTTATTTTTTCAACCTGCTCTGACTAAAATAGACTCTAGGGGAGGATTAAAGCAAATTATGTATGATTTAAAACTTTTCCAGACAGTGATTGGCTGAAATTAGTGCAGACATAAAACACCTGCTGCTCTCCGTTAAGCTCCTGTTCTTTCTTTGCAAATACCCTGAATCACTTTTCATGTTTATTTTGTCTCCATTACTTGTTTTACTTGCAGTTTTTTGGCTCTCTCTAGAAAAGTGACCACTCAGACATGCTCAAACAAAACAAAAACAAAAATTCTGAGCTGTTTTCATACCTGTACCTGTGGCACACTGAGGAAAATCGTCTATTTCAGAAGGCTTTTGATCCTTTTAGTGTTCTCAGTTTTGATTGTGTCTGCTTTTACATGATATCAAGAAGGACCTGGGTTCACTAACAGCATTCTTCACGTCGTGACTTCAATTTTAGAGCACTCACTGGTGCTTGCTGCTGCTTGGTTTCAAAAGTTTTGTGTCAGCACTACCTTAAGTCTGTATTTGTTCAGTACTTAGGTCTTGTAATTCTTTGTATTAAAGAGCTCTGGTGGTTAGTACTGGTGCCTCAAGGCAAAAAGGCCACAGGTTTGAACGGCAGCTGAGGCCTTTCTGTGCTGAGTTTGCACGTTCTCCTTTGCATGCAAGTTGTAACCAGCTTCCTCTTACAACCCTGGATATGTCCCCTTGGCTAACTGGTCACTCTAAAATGCCAGAGTGTGTCAGGTTGTCAGTCAACATGGGTGGATCTTGACACTCATCTAATAACAGCTGGGATCGGCTTCAACCCCGATGCAGACCCTAATGGGACAAGTAGCATAAACAATAGATGGATTTGAGACGTTGGAGTTAAAATCTAAAGGGGTTAAGAGAATTAAAAAGGAAAAACAAATCACTGTATTGTTCATATTTAGTTAAAAAATATCCTTAAGGGCTTGGGTTTGAAAAAAATTGAGTGGAGAAAAATGACTGCCATTGCCGTTGGAGACGTTGACATCTGAAGCCCCGCCCCACTTCACTTTGATTGGTTGTTGGTGGTAATTACAGGCGCAGCATTGTTCAGCACCAAAAATCAGCTCACAACAAGGGCACATAATCACATAATCACATAATCGTATGTCACATGATCGTTTTCAGAGATGCAGATAGACATCCACACAGGGATGAAATCGTTTACAGATTTATGCTCTCTCTGACCCGTTTTCAAAAAGTACCTGAAACGCCGTTTCTGTGTAGATGAAACGCCGATACGAGAAAATGCTTTTGCCTTTACTCCTGAATTCATGTGGAGGGGTTGATACTGCCTTCAGACAGACTTTGCAGCGGGAGTGGTCTGCTAATTCCACATGACTGACTTGCTCTTGTCCTATTTAGCCACGAAATTATCGCCTTCTTTTGCAAACGCCATGTTTGTTTACACTGGTGGGTGTGGGAACTGGGGAGTGCTCTTACAGGAAGGGGGAGCCTACGGTGGCCTGAAAGCGCGAGACAAGATAGAAAAGGGAAAATCAATTCGACGATTTTAATTTTTTTAACATCATAATCAAACAATTTGATTACGATTTAAAATCGACTAATTGAGCAGCCCTAACTCTGGCTCTAAAGCATGTTTCTTCACAAACCCCTAAATTCTGAAAAAGTAAGATTAAGGGCTCTATTTTCGTGCTTCGCCGGAGACGTGGCGCAGGCAAGGCGTAAGTCAGGTCTGCCGCGCCAACAAGGCGTGCCCAAACGCAATTTGGTATTTTGGTGAGCGGCACAGCCCGGCATAAGTATTCCCCCTCCCTAACTCAGATCCTCCCAGCGGCGTAAGTCATAGCGAGGGAGGAGAGAGGGCATGGAGTGGGTTTATCACAACCGGGACCTGTATTGACCAATAACATCAGCTCCTCTCCTCACCTTTAAATCCGCCACTGGCGAGGCGTATTACAATTTTCGTGAAGTAGTCAAAGAGATCAAGAGATGTCTGAAGACAGCAATGCCACACGATGGCGACAGAAGGCAGCCCCTCAACAAGTGTCACTGTAAGCGCTGCAGAGGACGTCCCTCACACTCTCCCAAATAAGCACAGATGGATTCGGTGTGTGTAATGTTGGACTCACTGGCAAGACAAACACCCTTTTCCACAATTACGGAGCTTTATCCTAATACAAAATAAATCTTTGCAGCTTAATAAGAAAATTTCCAATTACAATGATTCTAATGGTTAAGAAACTTGTGAAAATGGGTCTCCCTGTGTTAAGATTTGTGACTATAGGTTTTTGTTTTACAGTCCTATGTGTACAGTTCTCAGGCAACAAACAACCAAACAAAAAGTCAACACTGCAGGTCCCAGTTGTGAGCACCAATGTGTAAACTTCCCCTCCTTGCTCTTATCAAACCTATTATCATAAATAAAAAATTTGTGCAAAGTCAATCCGTCTACTTAGAGGAGAAAATTAGCTTCCTCACTGTATGTTCCCGGGAGGATGACCTCTGGTCCTCTGCCACTGTGTACCTGTAGCACCTCGAATCAAAATGGTGATGGAATAATCAATGTGTGTGTGAGAGAGGAACAGTAAACACCTGAGAGGGTCAGATAAATATAACAGACCTGATGAAACTATAAAACCACAGCTGCCTTCATTTCCTCCAACGACATTTACAGCCTGACAGTGTGTGTTTGGATAAGGGTGTGTGTGAGAGAGTGTGTGTGTGTCATGTCCATGCCTGTCTGAGTGTGTGCGTTTGTTTTAATAGAGAACGATGTGCTGCATCTCTCTGCGTGGGTGTAAATGTGAGTGGAGAAGGGAGTAGGATGGAGAGACGAGGTGCATAGGTCACCATGACATTTCCCCAGTCAGGTACACCTTGTTATTCCACCTCAAGATGCTGTTAGAATAGAGCTATGAATTCATTTTGCATAGAGTTGCTTTCAAAATCAAACCCTCAGAGTCATTTTTGTGAACATTTCAGTGTGAGAACATCGAGAAACAATTAGAAAAAGGCTTTACAAAGGAAATTATTAACAGCTATGAAAGAAACTGGGACAGGAAATGGTGCGCATACATTTGAAGCAGCTGAAGACAGACTGGATGAGGACCAGCGTGGTCTCTGAATCACCCCACTGTGTTTCCTCTCTATTTTAATTTGGACTCAGTGAGAATACATCCATCATGCCAGCCAGCCAAGACCAAGTGCATTCCACTACTGTATGAAGAAACCACGGAACAAGGGAAGTGTGTGAGTGTGGGGGGCGGTGATCACTCAATGTTAAGGCTGTTCCCCAGGCAACCAAGGTCTGACATGGTAGAACACACACTTAGTAACATGGTACACACACATATGAGAGTGCATATACGAGGTGTAAAGTAGACAAGAAGGATAAATGGGCTACAAAGGACAGGTCAAGACAACAGGGTGTGTGAGCACGTGTGTGCCTGAGGGTATGTGCTCATGTGCTCATAGGACGCTGCAGGTGTGTAAACTATGCGAGGGCAAAGAGTCAAAGTGCTGGTACACCGTGGTCCGTAGCATAAGGGTAGACTGTAGAGCTCTAATGACTGAGCTGCTGAAGCTTGCTGTGCCACAAAAGTCTGAATGAGCGACTCTGCAGAGCTGCTGTGAAACGTTCACTCAAGTGCACCGGTTTGTACCTCAGCGGCTAAAAAATCTTGATGTTTTTCTGGTAATTTGTGATTCTATTTCAAAAGTTCTACAATTCAAGTGGACAATGAAAAATATGTATTTAAAACTTGGGTAGGAAAGAAACTTACATGCTCTTTGTCTCATTAGTCTTGAGTGAATTTGCATCCAAATGTCTGTCAAAGAACTTACAACCTGCCATCCCTGACTCAGCAGGGGTGTGTCCAGGCGAGTAGCTAAATAATGGTGGCGCTGCCCCCTACCCCCCACGTGAAATTACACTGGCGACCTCTAAGGCCTTAAATTTTAACCATTTGGGCTGTGTCACAACAGCCTGCGGTAGCTTTCTCGCCAATTCAATGCAACATATTTCCTTTTGTTGAATGTAAAACTTCTGAGGCTGATATCTTTTGTTATGATTTGCGACTGTACCGTTCAACTTTCAACAAGCATAAGAAATTAAATGGACCCTACTGAAGGAAATCATGAGATAAGATGCTTTAAAAATACTAAATCTGTTGCTGGAAGCCTTTCTTGCTGTCTCATTCATTTTTCCTGTCTGCACATCAGCCTGCCTGTCTTTTGTCCCTCTGCCCGTCTACTTATTTCTTGCTAGATGAGTCTTCTGCAACTGAAAGTAAACAGGCACACTGCAGAAAGAATGGCAGATTTTGTCTCAACTTGTCTGTCAGATTTAGTTGTATATTTTTGATTTTAATGATGATGATGATGATGATAAAAGATGCTTGTTTGTGTAGGTTTGAACTAGTGCCCGACCAATATGGATTTTTTGGGGCTGATGCCAATTATTAGGGGGGGGTCTGATTACTGATTAATCAGCCAATTTTTTAAAATTTTTATTAAGTTATAAAATATATATGCATACAGTAGATATCTACAGTATACTATATACTGTAAATATACTGTAGGCTACTGCTCTTCACGCTGACAGGAAGACCGACTGATCAAACTCGGACCAGAAAAGCATTTTCAACTACACCCCCCACCCAACCAGTGCCTCTGTTTCTTAGTGGCTCGATCACGTAAATTGTACTGTTGTTTATTCTACCGTTACTGGCACGGCTAACAGTGTAGCAAGGCTAATAGCAGGTGGCTAACTCTAACTTTAGCTTGCATATTAGATGGTGCTTCACCGTTAACACGGTGTGACCGAGACCAGCACAGCTGGGAACATGGTAAAGTGGGTTGAACTGAAACTTGTTGACTTATTGTGTATTTCACAAACTGGTTTATTTACCGTTGAGGCGGACCACTCTCCTCCGTGCGTCCCTGAGCTGCCTGCTTCAGATCCGTCACCCTGCTGTGCTGTGAGGTAGTTAGTGGATGAAGATTGTCATGAGGTCGCTGCGCCATCTACAGGATAAGTTGGGGAACTTTTCAAATGGCGGGAGTCTTATTCTCAAATGGGCTAAATTAATCGGCTTGCCAATAAATCGGTCAGGCCCTAGTTTGAACGGCGATAATATTCAGTTGAATCTTGCTGGTTGCTCCAGAATTGCCCACCTTATCTTTGAACGGTGGGAATTTTTTAAGCCAGGGCTTTTTGGGTGGTATTCTGCCGCTGTGCCAATCCACTGGGAAACATGGTTTAGCTTTGGTACCACTGTCCTCGCCTAACTATGCACCTGTGGACTTCCATCTACTGTATGCAACACAATAGCAACAGCTGAGTCCTTTATAAAACCCCCACTTCAAGAGGATAATCTTACATTTCAACTTTTAAGACAACCACTGAGATGAAAACGCTCACTGAGAGAACTCACAGAGCATCCTTGGGAGCGTTCCTTACTTTGATTAAACTGCTGAAGGTATAAGGCAGTGCTCAGCATTAATACCTTATACGTATGTGCTGCTGCAAACATCAAAACTGCAACGATCTAAGTGAGCAGAAACCCTTTTTAATACCGGCTATTAAAAATATTTCTTCGCTTGACTTCCAAAAGAGTCTAAAAGGAAAAAAAAAAAAAATGCCACAAGCACAGAATGCCAATCAGGCTTGTAATAAAACTCCTTTAACGTTGTGAAAGCACTTATCTGACAAATTCAAGCCTTACTGCTCACAAATTCAAGATATTTTAATGTGATGGAGGCAGATTCTCCTTGATCTCAGTCAAGGCCGTCTCTGAGTTTTCACAGAGATGCAAACTGCCTTGAGCACAGCCGCGGTGGCTTGTTTGTTGCTGCTGCTGTGCACATGTGAGAAAGACTGTTACTCCGACCTTTCACACTGCTCTGGTGCCAAGACGGGAGGTTGTTTCTGACTGTGTTTCAGGGTATCTTGATAAACTGCCAACACCAAAATAAATATTGTACTTGAACTTCATGTCAAATGTATCCACAAGTATTTTTATGTTGCGAAAAAAAAAATAGCCTTGGAATAAAATCTCGGTTTAAAAACAGCTGCAGAAAAACTGATAGCCCGACAGTGTTGACCGTTTTTTATTTCCTCTTTTCTAAAAATACTCCACGTTTCAACCGTAGATATGCATCCTCAATCTGCAGGTCAGACCGTCTCCTGGTCAGACAGGCAGACACACACACAAAAACACGAGCAAAGGAAATCTCAGGACATCAAAAAAAGAACACACATACACACTTCAACGCTCTCCCCTCAGTGAGCCTCGGGGCCCCTTTCGTTTCTTCGCTCTTCTCTCAGGTCCTCTGGGGAGAAGGGAAACCCATGAAATGATTCCTGACATGACGGATCACAGAGCAGCGCCCGGTTGAGCCGTCTGATATCAACACTTTTCTGCCTGACTGTGGACAAGTAAGGCAGGGGGATTTGCGATGATTTCCCCTGGCTGAAGCTCGGAGCTGTATCTGCTCGGCTGGCTGGAGTTACTGACGCTGGCCCACAGTGAGAGTTAACCCACAGAAATGCTGTCAAATGGAAAACTGGTAACTCTGGTTTGAGTGTTTCTTTTTAAACATATTTCCTCAAATGGAAACTTTCAGTCATGTTTCACTAGGTTCGTCTTATTTCAGTTTATTGGACCTGCTATAATCCATTTTTCTCAGAACTCTCCATACTGAGTTTGTTTTCAAACCGCTGGAAAGTTTTCTGGACGTTCTGGGTTTTCTTCTGAATATATACATTGACGGCTCCTACGGTCTGTAGCGTCTGTTCGACTCACACCACTGCGCTGAACTGTTCGCCTCTGCTTGGACTCTAAATTTGTCACACTGGGAATATACAGACAAGTCAGAGGGATAATAAGAGAAGCAGAACAAAGTGGCCTTTTGATGCTTCCTGATGAAAACATATTCTTTTTGAATACGAACATCAATCAACCTTTGCCTTCTGATGCTCTCCGCATTCGCAGCAAAGTGAATTTCCAATTCAACGCAGCGACTTGACGTCAGCTTTGTGTGGGACGCAGAAATTTGTGTGATGCAATCTGTTGGCAAAGAGGAAAGATTGTTTTTAATCTTCTCCTCTGTCCTCAAAGCTGAAGATCACATCGCAGATTAAACAGGTTGTTCCTATTTGATGTAGCACTGATGCTTTTAGGCAAATGTGCGAGCAAAACGCTCACATGAATGCACAAACAACACGGTGAGTAAATGACCGGAATAAAGGACAAGAGAATAAGGAGAACGAGCTCTGACGGGTCGTATGAATGAGTCAGAGGAGGAGGGGAAAGAAAAACACATGTAAACACCTGCTGACGCGATCGCACGCCTTCCTATTCCCAGCTCATGTCAGTCTGTAAGATCTCCACGATTCGCAGCTCTGAAACGAACCTAAAGCAGACTCATTCAGTGTCGGGTCGGTTTGATGTTTGAGAGCTGCTCATTAGCATGCCGAGATTCTCAGAGGTGTGAGTTACAACAATATTAGGAAGTTTTCAGCCTTTGGTTTCAGTTTGACTCATTATTTAGATGTTTCCAGAGAAGTCTGATCAAAGTCCCTGTTTAACTGATCCCCTCTCTCTCGGCTCATCATACGTGGCCCTCGAGCGAAGAGCAGCTTGAGTGGTGGAAAAAAAAATGTATGAACAGATAGAAAGGTATCAGAAGTTTCCATCGTTTCTGTCTTTGTATCTATTTAGAGCAGTGGAGTGCAGACAGAGTAGGAGGAAGTGCTCCTTGTTTCTCATGAAAGATACAAGTCTGCTTCTCTCCTGTTGTTAAAGAAATATGAGATACTTCTTTGTCATGCAGCAGAGAAAGCTGTGACTTGTTGCATTTATGGTTAAATCGCTCTTTTCTGGCACGATGCAGACTGTCTTCTGAGCGAAGGAGGAAAACGAAAAAAGAGAGCGCAGATGATAAAGAAGGGCCGTGGAGAGAGAGAGAGAACTGGGTTTAACTTTTTTTTTTAGAATAAAATCCATCTTACCTTCAAGGATAACTTCTTTGCCAGTTTTCTTCAGCGCCTGCACAGCCTCATCATGTGTGGCCTCCCGTAAGTCATAACCATTGACAGACAAAATGGCATCACCCACATAAAGAGCCTCAGTCTGGTCAGCGGCAAGGCCTTTGAAAATCTTGGAGATGAGGATCGGCATCTTGTTCTCCTTCCCACCTGAAGAAAGAAAAAAAGAGAAAAGAAAAATGTTGCTTTGAGATTTTCTCCAACAGTCTGCTGCTCTTTGTGTCAGTATCCATTGACTAGAATATGACAAAAGTTAAGCCTCTAAGGGTGTCAGTCGATATTTGAGACTTGCAGTGTAACTTGTAGATATTTTAGCTCTAATCTCTAAATCCATTTAAGAAATATCTGCTCAGAGATTCCTCTTAGTACAGTCTGAGAAGGAACTTAAAGATCCAGTGAGTAACTTTCCCTTTGTGTAAACTTTGATGACCCCTGTGGACGAAGCTGATTTGTCCTGTACATGTGCAGTTATGCTGCATCCCAGTTACCTCAGAAGACTGATGTCAGAGCTGGGAATGACGTTACAACCGAGTTGACGGCGTTCCAGTAAACAAGTCGAAAAACCATTAAGGATGCTTACTGTTAGCCATTGTTAGCAGTTGTCTGCTGTTGTTAGTTATTGTCAGCCGCTGTTAGCTATACCAGTTGTAAACAAAGCATAAAACAGTATTTTACTCTTACAAACACCATAGTACCGTGTTCACAGAAATCCGACTTCGGGGGTTGGGGGGGTGTTCTAGATGAATTTCTGACTGGGAACTCGGAAAATTCCACTCCCAAGAACAAATGGAATGCAGCATAAGTATTTCTATACAACAATTAACTCTGCTTTCTAAAACAAATAACTAATCAAGAACGGTTGCTCTGAATCTACAAAAGAGGTGGGATCAGAAATGCGCAAACAGTCAGTTTTAACTCAAGGTTTACTTATGTTCTTATTTGCTAAGTTATCCAAAGGTAGGCGGTGGAATCAAATTCACACATGATAAGAGTTTGATGTAACAGAAAAGAAAATGCACTTCAGATGAACCCTTCAGAATTTTAGGCTTTAGGCTGACACAAATGTCAGAATCAGATTATCACAATGCTAAAGGAGCAGCAACCTGCTAAAACCATGCACATAAACCCTCTGGTCATTCACAGCCGCCTTTATATTCACCTTTTTGATGTTGAAATATACGTATTTACTGATGTTGTCCAGTTACAGGATGTGGAGACAGAATTGAAGAACAGCCTTCAGTAAAAAACGTCATCCCTCAACAACTTGTAGGCCATGCTTGAAAATGGTTTCAGTAACACACATTTTTGGCTGTATAAAATGGACAGGAAGCTATAAGTTGATATCCAGCTGTATCCATGATGCAACATACTACTTCAATCTGACAATGCTAGGAGCATATGAGGACAAACAGTCGTGGTTCCCTGCCCTTATGAACTTCTAAAGTTTGCCTTTCTTCCACTGCCTCTCTTTTTCTCTCGTTTCATAAAAGCCAGCTAGTAAGCTGATGGATCTGCTGCTTGCTGTTGGCTCGACTCTTCATGAGAAATATCGTCGTTAGTGTCAGCTGGTAGTTGGACTGCGACCTTCAGGCTAGGGAGAGACCATCTGAAAGAGGATTACATTTAATTAAACTAAGATACATCTTCCACAGGTTACCTCTTCTGGCTGATTCCTTTGGATTTAACTCATGGATCTTCCTTTGGAGGACACAACCTGGTGCTGAAAAGAAAAGAGCCCGAGCCGAGCGGACACATTCAGACTGCACGTCAATCACTCGGCTCCACTAGAAAGAGGGATTTACCTGCTACTTGACCGCTCTCTGGCATCAGACGGTTGTTTACTGCCTGACTGAGTGTTGGACGTGAGGTGATGACCTGTACTTACTGAATCGTGATGCACTGATAGAAATCTTAAAGTGGAGCTGAGGTGAAGAGGAAACTTCTGCAGAGTAATCGGTATTATCATAAATATATGTCATCAAATACCAATCTGAGAAATACGCCTCTTCTGTAGCATTAAATAACCATGCAGCTGAAGGAGAGGCTGAGTCTCCGACCACCACCAAAGAGCTAAATTATAAGAAGAACTTTTTGGCGAGTTTTTGCCATACACACCCGGAGACATCCGGGGCAGAACCAGGGAGACTGCAGACACAAGTTAAGCCTGAAAGATGAGGTCAAACTCTGCCTCTACTTTCCTGACAACAGAAAGTTTTCCTCTGAGAGGTAAAATAACAATAAAGTAGATTATGGCGAACAAGTGCTTTGATTGACACGCCATCTCTTAAAAGGTTCATGGAGCCATTCCTAAAGTAGGTAGTTGAAAACAGTGGAGCTGTATCTGCTTTGCTAATACTCCAAATGGAAAATGAATTAAAAGTGATTGAACAGTTGATCTGTTTTTAGGTAACAGCACCTCTAATGGACGGTAAAACAATACATTTGTGACTTTGGCAATGTCAATGAAATCGTGTGTTTCTCGGTGACTCTAGTGTCCCGCTCACTGCTCCATCCAAACCCTCCCAGCTGGTTCCAGGATTAAATTTGAATACCATTCAGTCACAAGTTGCTTCTCTAACCTTCATGTTACCTTTGCCTCCAATCTGCCGTATGAACTGTACTGAATCACAATGCTCTATAACCCCTAATCAGAGATAAAGTATGACTGGGCATAAAGGCTCAACAGTACTTGGAGCAACTCACAAACTGCAGAGCTTTCATCTTTATTGGGAGCTTGAAGCTCAAACCCCAGACAACCAGTCATTATAGGCTGCAAGTGACAGGCAGGATGACCCTCATTTGTTTAAGGGTTTACTAAATCAACAGTCAGTGTTTCCCCCAGCGTTTTTGCTTTGGCAGGGGTGGGGACTATGACGTAGGCATACGCCACGGTGGCGGGAGACGAGCCAGCGCTGTTTTCGGGGCTGTGAGAAATGCTTAAGCTAGCATCCACAAGAGAATATGCGGCGTCAGCATTACATACCGTCTTTTTGAAGACTGCAGATATTTTCAATTGGGGTGCTTAATGTTCGGGGACAGTTCGGTGCTCCATGACCATTTTTTTTGTATTGTTTTTTTTGCGGAAAACACGATAGAAAGGAGCCAGAACCCCTGGTTGTTGATACCATCCTGCGCATAACTGGCATACCAGAATCAGTGGCATACCGCACCTCTGAACTACGTGGCGTGGCAGATGCGCCGCTGCTGAATGAATGTAGAGGAAACACTGTATTTTAAAGGCTGTTTTGATTTCTGGGTTGGGATCTCGTTGGCAGGGGCGCCCTGTCAAATACACTATAGGGGAAACACTGACAGTAGAGTAGCAAAGAGTTGAACCCTGATGCACATAAAAATAGAGCGAAGTATTGGACTTGCAAAATGTTAGAAAGTAGTCACGAGTATCAACAGTAACAAAAGATATCAATGCAAAGTGGCCGATTCTTCTTCATAATTGGTTTAATAAGTCGAATGAAGGGCAGACTAAGAGTCCTGCACGTTTCAACACTGATTGCAAATTCAGAACATGATCAGTGACCTTTTAGCTTCATTAATACTGAAATGCTAATGTCTGATGCGTAAGTGTTAAGCAGATTGACAAGCAGACAATCGATCATTGAAGGTCCTATGATTGACATGCTATTTTTCAGAGTCACTTGTACAGCAGCGGTCATATGTGAATAAGAGAGTGGAACTGAAGAATACCTAGGGATTGCCAAATGCTAAGTTGTCACAGCTTTACAGGCTCTTTTGCCAACTGGCTAATTAGCTGGCTAACCGGTGTTTCATAAAGAAAAACATCTGTCTGTTTTGGCAACAGATGGGAGTTGTAAAGACTTCAAAAGCTATGAAACTTGCTCATATCTCTGTAGAAAGAGCAAGCATTTGGGTGAACTGAACAAATGGATACCTTAAAAGAGCTGGGTTTAATCAATAAGGCCCCCAGTCTTCTCTTTGATAGGAAGCCAACAGCAAATGTTGAACACTCAGGGGCCGACAACTGAAAATCAATGTCTGAGAAAAACTTTGCTGGGTACTGTGATTGAAGCTGCTGATTGGTTCCAACAAATAAAAAAAGTTAAACTAGAATTTTACACACCTCAGAGAAGTCAAAACTGGAGCACAGACTCCCTGCTTGGTATGCGAGTACAATACTCTGCATAGAAAATCATATTACTTACTGTGTGCATTTCAAATCTCTGGTGGTCACCCAGACAAACACAGCAGAGGCTACATACGATGACGAAACAGCTGAGGTTATGTGAGGCAGACTATCAGGAGCACTTACACTGAACCTCCCCCTGTCTATGCTGTAATTTCAGTCTTAGGAAAAACTGCCTGTAGCTCAGTGGACAAGTCAGTTGTCTCTCAATTGGAATGTAAAGGGTTTGATTTCAGCTTCCCGCAGTCCACAAGTATCTTTGGTCAAGACAAGCCCAGATTGCTCCCCAAGGGCATGAGCAGCACCGTCTGAACGTCTGTGACGAGGTTTACTTAATACTGAAGGGCACCTATCATAGCTTCCTCAGCCATAAATGTAGTACAGACTAAGGGTGGGAATCACCAGTGGCCCCATGATACAATATCATCATGATACTTGGGCCACGATACAATATTATTGCAATTTGTAACATTTTGCAATAGAGTAAGTATTGCAATAGCACATATTGCGATTTAGACAATTTTTTCAACCGTTTAGCTAATTTAGTATTTGGTTTCCTTTACGTTTGTCTTACACAGTATTTAATTTTCCTGTAGCACATCTCACAAACCTTTTATTTGTTGTACTAACTTTCTTCTTCTCTGTGATGTCACCTCTGCCAACCTCACTGGACAAACAGTTGATTTTATTGTTCCATTTTCATAGATTTGACTTCATATTAGCAATTCATTTGAGAAAATTTATTCTTGGTAAATGAGAGGGTGATATGGACAGATATTAAAATCCCAGATTTTTCACAACAAACTTGTTTCAGAATTGTAACTGTTTTTTTTTAGATTATTAAGCCTCTGGTCTGGTAGCTCACCTCTGTGTTTGTTCAGGAATTGAGCTGTTTGGAGACAACACTTTTTGTTAATAAAATGCACTGTGAAAATCCTGTAAAGCTGCACTGTTTGACTTGACAGTGGTGGTGGAACACACCTACCTACAACATACCTAACTTTGGCATTTCCATTGTGTACGGGGTACCATATCTTTGGTGATATGTAGTGTTTGGTGAATGTTTTCGTCTTGAGATTTATCACAGCCAGCTATAAAGTATTTTTTTTGTTGTTGTGGCTGCCTGCCTGTGTAGGTGTGTTTGTGCGATCAAGTTAAAGCTGTGGCTAAAGCTCCACATAGGTACCGTTTTAACTTTTAATTTTTCTTATCATTCGAAAGTTAAACCTGTTGGTTATTTTCTAGGTCAAGTTTAATCAGTTGAGGGAATCAAGACTCCTCGGTCACAGTAGGTTTTAATCATGTCCCTTTCTTGTCGTACTCCATGCAATGTGAAAACAATTCCACTAAAGTTGGCTGCTTTTTGGCGGGAATATATTCTCAGCGTAGGTGTTCGTGGGCTGTAGCGGTCTTGTGCATTACATAGTGAGACATATATCTCCCACTCAACTTCATGCTTTTGTTTGGTTGAAATAAATTGATTGTGTTGCAGCCTTTGGACAAACTATGTAGTGGACTGAGTTTGAGATCTGACGCTGTGAATCCGAACCAGTTCCAGAAAGCTGAACAGACTGTGCCTTTCTTTGGCCACGCTGTTTCTGTGTGTCTGTGTCTAAGGGAAGTGAATGAGGGAAGAGGGTGTGAACTGAAGGGTAGCAACGGGAGACACTGAGGGAAAAATCTAGGTGTTTGTTTTTTTTTTACCGTCCTGAAGCCCAAATTCTAATTAATCATTCTAATTCATCCCCCAACCCTGGTATGAATGGGTGACTTTGACATGAAGTACAAAAGAACTTTTAGAGGTTAAATGACCAGAAAGTAGATTAAGTCTGTTTACCATTTTCAATTACTTGGATACATAAAAATTCAGCACCTGACAGTAGCCATTAATAAGAGATGAAGACCATGAAGACCTAAAAAGCCTGGTCCTGAAAGTCCTGAATAAACATCCTCAACAATATGGAGGTTAAATCCCTGTCAATATGTCCAACACTTCTGCAAAACCCCCGATATTCCCCCCCTCCCCCCAACTTTTCATGTCAAACACAGTTCAGCACCCTCCAGCTGGCAGCCTGTCACTCAGCTGACAGGAGGCTGCTGGAGGTGAAGGTAGGGTGCAGCCACTGGGGGTGCCCATGACAGGTAAATGAATGGTACAGGTTTATACAACACTGACACGTACCTAATTAGGTAATTTTGTACAACAAGGTGTTTGTTGTGATAATGTTCCTTTAAAAGAATTCAGTCGAGTAAGCGCTTTAGTGATTCAAGAACAACAGGAAGAAACTTACACAAAACTTAGAAAACAATCGTCCAAGCAGAAGACATTAGCGTCTTCTTAAAACAGTTAGCAACATAAAACTACAGCTGGATTGTAAACTGACGTAAATATTCCTAATGTGCATATTTAGAGGGATTATTAAGAGGACCCGCTTTGATAGTTTCCCCGAACCTAGCATTAATTTCTCATTACAAAAAGTCCTACCTCAGTAAGATAAAACATGATACCTCAGTTTTAACTCTGAACAGGGAGCAATTATATCCAAATACTTTCTTTTATGATACAGCTACCCAATTATCTGATGTCAGACTCACAGTCACAGCAGCTTTTATTGTGGTGAAAACCCACCAACTCCACACCTAAGAGGCTCACAAAAGAAGCCTTTTCTTCTTCTATTCTGTCAAGTGGGCCTGTCTAGGGACCTGGAGCCTTACTTCCTAGCCTCTCCTCTTAAATTTAGCAGAGTGAGAGTAAAGGTTGACTGCCTCCATGCTTCCCCGCTAGCTGGGGTGGGCTCCCTAAAATTAACACTAGCCCTAGCCACATAGCTTTCATCTTTGGCTTGTGACAACTGCCTGCCGCAGGCTGCTCCTCTCAGCTGTTCACAATGCGGTGTCAAACAGCCTCACGACGACTTTTGCCCTGTTATTTCATGTGTTTCAGCCTGTTTCTTTCTTGACACTTGACTGTTCTCTACTCTGTCCTTGTCTTTCTAGCTGTCTCTCATGCTCACTTTCTCCACCCTGTCTACTCGCTTGACCTCCTCTGCATGTTCTGTGTCCCATTTCATCTGACTTACTCTTAGCGCCTTTGCTTTTCCCTTTTTGTCCCTCTGCTACACCCTTCTTTTTCCCTTCTCTTCATCGTTGCTGCCTTTGAACAACCAGCATCACAACAATGGCATGCCAGCAGGGTGCCAGCAGTGATTTTGTTTTAATAACATGCTGTCTGATTTTCAAAGCCACCCATTTTTGCAGAGATGGACTTTACATTTATGTCATTAGGGGCTGGCTTTTTGTTGACGTTGTTGTAGTTGTTGTTGTTGGCAGCTGCGGGGGAACTGAAATTAGCATTTAACCGGCAGCGGCTATGACAAACAATCTTTGCCATGTGACTATGATGGTTCAAGTCCACAGCTGTCCATCAAATTGACCCTGTGCATCAGCCAAGGGCCAAGTGTGTTCCTGTCAATACATCAGGTTTAGACCTATGCGGAGGTGGAGGCTATGACTCAGACAAATGCAGGTATGTAAACACAATTATAACATGCAAGGCCTTTCATATACAAATCACATTGACAGCAGGAGGGAAGCAGTACATACAGGTAAATTCTAAGCAAGAAAGACTGAACTCTAATGTGAGCAACAGGGACATCATAATGACTCATGACTGTTTAAAAATGTTTCTCACTAAGCTTGTAGTAAACCGTGAAAAGAGGAAGAAATTTGGGGGGCTTGAGAATCTCGAGCTGAAAGAAAAAGTCTATTAATTTTGAGCTAAATGAATAATAAATGAAGCTGTCACCAACAGAAAGCCGAAACAAATATTGCCAGGAGTAGCTGCAGTGTAAGGGCTCCACATTATACTTTGTATGTAGCCTCAAGCTGCTAAGATAACTTTACATTGAGATCTCCTCTGAGATAACAGCCTGTTGCTGCAGGTCGTGGAAACAGAACAAGGAAGGGGGCCTTTGTAAGCTGTTGCACAGTACACAGCACAGGTATGTAAGCCTGGCTTGTAAAAAGCATGGAGGTTGGGACCTTTTCTCATAGAGAGGTTTTAGAGACACTTTTTAAGTTACCACAAGTGGAACTGTTGCTTTCAGATGATATGCTCTAAAGTAGGCTTTTCTCTTTTTGACATTATCCTCCGACTTTGCAAATTGATAATATTGCACAGAACCCTTTTGCAGGCTTGCATCCACATCTCAGATGTATGACTCAGGGAAAAACAAGTATTACCTTTGTTATCCTGATATTATGAGAAAAAAAGTTGTGGTCTTGAGAGAAAAAATCACCAAGGAAAAGGAGAGTAAACAAACATATCGGTGCATTTATGCCAGAGGGTTCTGATGTTATAGACAGGACTTAAATATTATTTTTGTATGCCAGGCTAACTCATCTAAACACTCAATGTGTACAGATGGCTTCACGACGTGAAATATAACTAAGGATTTGGGTTAGAGAGCTACACATGTAAGGGGGAAACTTAATACTTTTGAAGGACGCAACGGTCAGTTTGAAGTTAGCTCTCTGAACTGACAAAGCGACGGTTACATTGTCGCTGTAGTTGACAGAAACTGAACTCAAAACTCTGACGCTAGTTGGACAAAACTTGGGTCAGCTACAGCAGAAAAAAACACCAAGGAAAAGAAGAGTCAACACGCGTATCGGTGCAGGTTCTGATGTTATAGACAGGACATAAATATTATTTTGGTATGCCAAACTAACTGATCTAAACACAGTTTGAAGTCAGTTTGAAGTTAGCTCCCAAAACCGACAAAGCGACGGTTACGTTGTCGCTGTAGTTGACAGAAATTGAACTCAAACTCTGTTGCTACTTGGACAAAACTTGGGTCAGCTACAGCAGAAAAAAATCGTATGGGTACATTTACGCCAGAGGGTTCTGATGTTAAAGACTGGACTTACATTATTTTGGTATGCCAAACTAACTTAACTAAAAACTACATGGCTTCTCGCAACATTATGCAAATGTATAAAGGATAAAAGTAGGTAATGAAAAGTGAAGATAAGGCAGAAAAGGTATCAAAGAACAAAGTGGACTACAATGTGCAGGGCATGTGACAACAGTTTAAAATAGTTATGCAACACAGATGTTGAACAGTATGGATACAGTATGTACTGTGGATACAGACTGCTCTCAAAATATGACAGCAGTGAATGATTAGAGTGGGGCAGAAGATTGACTAACTGGGGCAGAAAAGTCAGGAGTGTCAGTGCTGGAAATAAAGAAGGCACTATAAACAGCCCAAAACAGAGGAAACACAATGGTGATGATTGTGACAGTGGTTGTTGTCAAGTAAAAAGTGACAGTGTGTAAGAAGACTTATTTTTGCCAAGAATCAAACATGTGTTTTCCTTTTTTACCGCTCACTGATTCAATAAGTTGAGTAGAGACGGTTTACGCTTCGCCGTGGATTAGCATTGTCAAATAACGGCTAACTTAGCTCGATGGAACACGACAGTCACCGTTTGCCAAACTCCAGTGAGGGACTGTGGGACGTCGAAATGGTTCCCCGTCGAGGTAAGACACAGCTTGGGGTAATCACAGCTGTCACTTTTCTCCCCCTCTGTTTAAGCAACACGACGTGAAATATGTAACTGAGGTTTTGGGTTAAAAGGCTAAACATGTAGGGAAGAACATCGTACTTTTGAAGGACGTAACGGTCAGTTTGAAGTTAGCTCTCCGAACTGACAAAGCGACGGTTCTGTTGTCGCTGTAGTTGACAGAAACTGAACTCAAACTCCGTCGCTACTTGGACAAAACTTGGGTCAGCTACAGTAGACTCGTCTTTCACAAAGTTCGCGGTTTTTTCCCAAACATTTTCTTACCTTTAATACTGATTCCAAGTCCTCCAACATCTTGCTTGGTAACTCGTACGGTGCGCTTCACGTTGGTGATGGTTTCCGGGACCGGGGAAGTGCTGAGGTTCGGGGGGTCTCCGTTGATAGCACCGGCGGGAGTCGGGTTGGGCTTCGCGGGTTCCTCTGCAGACTCTCCGGGGTTTACCGTGAGCGTGTCTTCGGTGAGCGTGGCCAACACCCGAATCCAACGGTCCACGGTCACTCGAAGTTCCAGCAGTCCCGTTTTCTGTGCCTTCATCGCGGCAGCCATGTTCAACGCATTCCTGGAATAACTCTAGACTGGCTGGCAGTCCTGTAAAGAGATAGGGGTGGAGGGATGGGGTAGGGGGCACACACACACGGTCCTACACACACACACTCTTCCCTCTCTCTCTCCTACTTTGTCCGCCTCTAAAGAGGTTTACCCACTAGTAAGAAGTCGAGTTAATTGAGGGTGATACGATTAGCAACGGTGTTGACACAGACACTCAAAGTTCAAAGAGCTTCTTGTCAAGTTCCCCCATTAATGAACTGTGTGCGCCTGAGTCACACATAATTAAGTTTTGATTCATTCACTTATTTATTTATTTAAAGTGCATTGAGCCACCCGGGCTTAGATCACACATCTCATTTGCAATGTGCCCAACAGACACAAAATCACTGCACTGATATATACAGACGTTCATGTCATGAAGAAAACAAAATCAATAGTGCTGCCCGAGCCAGAGATGGTCCACTGCTTTGCCTTTCCAGTGGATAGAGCTGAATATATCAGGCATGAAATCCTCAAATCGTCTTCAGTTTGAACTCTTGAGATACAAAATGTGCTTACTGGGATGTGGTGTGGAGTAAAGAAAACTATTTTAACCATGTTGCTTGAATCTTTGAACTTACTCCCAATGAATGGTAAGAGGGAGGGTCACAGTCCTAATGTAAGGCATTAGGCTATAACAAAAAAAGTGCATAAGGTTTGCCTGACATTAGGGTATGTTTGATATTGAGTCCTTGCCTTCTATGATGAGTGGAGCTGGAGTAACAACAGACAGACAGCCTCAATGGAGCCCTACGCAAAAATTTGATTCTATTTTTGCCAATAATATTGATTGTTGATCATTCACACACCTTTACAGATCTCTTTTATCTTGGCCTCTTCTCTCTTCTTCCTCTTTCTTTCTCTTTCTTTCCTCTGCTCCTGAAGGATATGTCTTTTTTTGCAACATTGTTTTGCCCCCACAACTTCCTGCATTTTGGATGCTCAGTGCACATTGCACAGCAGATGGCACATTATGGTAGCGGAGCTTTGACATATTGGCAGTAAGAATCATAGGCCTACATCAGCAGCACTAAAATGTTTCTATTTTACTTTATTTTATTTTATTTTTACAATAATATACATTTGACATGCAAAAAATTAAAGTGTATACATTTTTTATTGCTCTTGGGGGGCCCCCTACTGGCTGTGGGGCCCTAGGCAGGCACTTAGTTCGCTTATGCCTTGGGCCGGTTCTGGTTAGTTAAACTGCTTGTAGAAAACAAACCCTTCGATCAATAACCAGCAAAAATCATATAAAAGGTAGAAGTTGGATAAGCCTGATGCTCTCCTAAGAGTGGTTAGCCCAAAGCGTCCCTCCAGTAGGCACTAAATGAGTTGGCAGCACAGTGTGTGAGCACTGACAAAGAGCAATCAATACTGGCCACAGACCAAAACCAGAGAGGACTTGATGTGCCGGGCTGGGAATTCCTTTGGACTTAGGCGAGGACAAAAAAATATAAGTATATGCCGAGAAAATTGGTGCTTGTCTTTAAATATGTAATGGATAGTGTATTATTATGAATGTTACAGTGGGCATATTGATTCCAGAGCTGGGCTACATTTGAGGGGTGCTCATGGTTTGGAGCCTTTTCAGAAAGGAAAGAAAGAAAATCACTTTTGCTGACAGGTGGAATGTGTTAATTCTGATCACATTTTTACTTATTCAGTCCCAAATGTCGCTTTTGAATAAATCCCTTTTATATTTTTCTGATCTATTTCCAAAATTTCCTCCAAGTTTCATCATGATATTTCAAAAGTTTCAACTATAACTATTATCTGTCTATAATTATTCTGTCACATATGCAAATCTTGTGTCGTATTACAGTTTTTCTTCACTAACTTGCATTTCAAAAAGCATTGAAAATACTGTAAAAGCTGCCTAAATACAGTCTCAAGCTTATTCATCACAAGATTTCTGCAGTAATATCCTATGACCAAGCCTTTTCGTCTTGGCCTTGACTCCAGCTCAACATGGATAAGTATTTCACTGTCCTGGTGAGTCAGCAGAGGTGCACTTAATTGCCCCGAGTAGACATTAAGAACATGCGTGAGTCACTGAAACAAGCTGATGAAGCAGTCCACATTTTTTATGCCCTATTGCATCTGCAAGTAATCAGCCAGCCCTTCAGCTGCGAGTGAGTGAGTGAGTGAGCGAGGGAGTGTGTGTGTCTGTGTATGTATGTGTGTGTGTGGCAGCATGTGTGTGCTGCATCTGCTTCACAACAGGTGAAATAGCGGAGAAGGTCCTGCACCCAATTTTAGAAATCTGCTCTTCTGGGTGGGCAGTTGTTCTCTTAATGAAAGCAGGTTTGGGATCATTGACAGGAAATTGTTCTCAGTCCACAGATTGTTTAAAGATGCTTTTTTTTTTGCATGAAAGCAGATGAATTACTTTTAACTCCAGTATTAGTTCCTGACTGCTCAATGTTTGCTTTAGTAAACAGCCATTGCTGTAGATTCTCTCACTGAACTCTTTGCAGCCATTGAGTCGAATAGAAGTGATTGTTCTGCCCAACAGAGGCTTTTTTTCCCCATCATCTGTCTCCCTCTAGTGGTCAGATGGCTGCATTACTTCTAAACAGTCTGTTCTAAGCAGCTGGTGTTGGAGAGAGGGATCCCTTTGATACAGTACAGATAATAAGGTGAAGATTTTCAAGGTTTTATTAAATACAATTTGAAAGGTTTTCAAAAACAAAATCTGGATTATTGCATTTATCCAGATTAATGATGAGATAAATCACAGAATCATCTCTAGTGTTTTTTTTTCCATTTCTTCTTCTTCTGACCTTGTCAAGCCACACTTTGTGTAAGATTAAAAATAAAATGTCCTGTTTTAATCTCCTAAGCATTAGATTAACAATACAATTACTTTGTGCTCAAAAACCATCAAATCACCACATCTGTCCCGGGATTAGGATTATTTCTGTTATTAGATGTATGTATCCAACCATATGTCAAATATAGATATATAAATATCTCACAATGACAACAAACATTCTAGCCTAGGCTGACTGTAGGTAGCTCATGAAAAAATTGGGCAGTTTTTGAGAAAATTATTTAAAAACTAATAACTCCCGGGTTTAAAGACTGAGAAAAACTGTTGTATATTAACAAGTTTTATTTCAAATACTATTATGAAAGAATCACATTTTAACTATTTAAGCTAAAAAAAAAAATAGATGCCTTTGCCAGTAATAGTTGTGCCTTTATGATTAATTGCATTGTCTTCTCAAAATCTGGTTTAATTGACTTAAAAGGCATCCCTATGTGAAAATAGTAATGAAAAAATCTCAGTAAATCCTGTAATGAAGTTGAGTAGTTAAAAATGGCTGAATTAAAAACATGTTGGGGTTGAGATGGTATACTATCAACAATATTGTGTAATGTATTATCATAGTTTTTAAAAGCCTCTAATACAGTATTTAATGATCACCCATAATAAAGAATTTTATGTCTGTTTAGCACAACTATTTTGATTGTATTAAAAAGTACAGTGTGTGGTATTTAGTAGCATTTGGCACAACGGACAGGAACTGAATGTAAAATTCATAATCATGTTTAATTTATTGAGTTATCACCTGACTACTGAAACTGTCATGTTTTCATTAATGTCATGAAACAGCCTTTTCTGCATAGGCCGCCATCCTGCGCCATCATGTTCCTACTATACCAAACCAGTAACATATTTACTAAGTGACTACAGCTGGAAAATGAACAAGAAAAGAGTGTTTGTTGTTGTTGTTGTTGTTGTTGTGTGCAGAGGAATTTTAATTGATGGACATATTTGATGGTAAATAATTGTGTTTGCTGTGTGTACGACAATAACTGTTCACTTAAAACCACTTCTTAAGGTTAACTGTGGAGTTTAAGCCATAGAAGAATATGTAAGATACTCTTTGTATGTTGGATCAGTCCATATGGGCAGTGTGGGTTATCTAGTTTGAGGGAAAAAGAAGTGAACATAAAAGTAATATTATACTCATGTCTCCTTGTTATTCGACACAACTCTTTGTTCAGATAAAAAAACACCCAGATGTAGTATTTAGCACATGTATAGATCAACACATATAACCAGCTCAGCTGCGTGAATAGGAGGTTCCAACGACAGTGCTTGACTTAAGCAGTGCTCCTACCTAATGATGTTTTGTATTATGACAAAGTGTTTGACCATCTGACCCCCTGTCTATACATCTGTCACTCTGTCCCTTTGTGATGTGAATGGCAGGTGGCCAGCCTATTTTTCACAGTGCCAGGCCTTCATATTTTTCTCAAAGCTTTATTGAATAGACCAACAGGATTTGTAAGGACCCCTCACGCACAAAAGAAGAGATGTCATCTTGTAGAAAACACATTTGTAAGAGGGAGTAGATGTAGTAAGATGTTATAGTACAAAAAGTTGTGGGTCATATGGAAACATATTTAAAGTGCCTTCTTAGCGTGTTTGGACAGTGACACATTTCTTTTATTAGCTTAGCGCTGATGGATTTGACCAGCAACAATAACTGAATAATAATATCATATCAGCAGACAATATGGAGGACATTTTTATTGTTATTCTCAATTATCTAAAGAGCTCAAAACTCAGACTATGTCTTGTCTAACCCTGTTGAGATTTTAATCCACTTAACCACCAGCTAATTCAACATTATTCCTTTTGTTTGTTTGTTTGTCATTATAAAATAATATTTATTTGTGTTTTAAAAATGCATGCAGCTCACAAAATTGATGCCAACAAGCTCAGAATGCTAATCAACACACAAAAATAAATTATGAATGGGGCTCGAAAACAGAGTAAAAAATGCATTAGAAATTATTGCTTTTGGTAATAACTGCCAGCATTACCATGATTGTGGTGCATTGAAGGTCCAAAATTATCCAGGAATTTTTGTTCCTTTCAGAGCATCTTAGTTACACAGCTTTAGCTTCTCCCTGCTTCCTGTTGCTGCCATAATGGAAAATAATCACACTGCGGTGGTGTAAAATGGCGCATTTTACTTTAAGGAGGCCTATCACGCTGATACATAGATGTTGATGTATTCCCCAGACATATTTCCCTTTGATAGCTTTGTAAGATTCTGCACTTTGTTGATGCAGTATGTCTCAGAAAGTTGCTTGTAAGTGTTTATTTGGTCGTAAGTGAAAGTCAAAGACACTTAAAAACACAGCTCTGTGTTTTCTGGACAACTGTTATTTGTGCTGTTCCTCACTGAAACATCCGAATGAGCTGAAAAGCTGAAAGTCACATCATATAAGCAGGCACAACTATAACAGTTAGCTTTTGCTACTATAGCAAAGTAAGGAGCTAAATGGGTGCCAAGTGCTATCCTCAGACGTTTTCTGGAAAGGCAGATTTTTCAGGTTTTTTCAGGACATCAAAAGCAGCTCTCACTATCTGTGTCTTAACCTTCAGCTAAAATGAGAAGCCAGGCTTTTAAGAAACATCTCAGGCAGTATTCACATCAACAGTTATTTGCACTTTATGTCCAATTATCACCAAAATACTCTGAATTTCAGCCACCACTGAGCGCTTCAGCAAACAGACACTAATATAAGTTGGTAACTACTACATGAAAGCAGACAGAAGTATTTTGCATGGTAAAAATCACCACTCAATTCAGCAATTAGCTCAACCACTATAAAAAAAAAAGTAAAATTTGAAACGTTCATCCCACCAAAGGTCAACATGACAACAAATGCATTCTTAGAAAGTTATTAGAAAGTTTTTTTTATTTGAATAGAAATTAAATTAAGTGAACATTCATCACAAACACTACACACACTGACACAGATGAACACACTACAACACCCCCTCCTGCCATCCCCTCACCCCACTTCAATCAGCCACATATATGCATGTCTCAACTCCCCAAAGACGGTGGACAGTTGGGATGGCCTGCTGATTAATTTCAACCTCCCCCCATGTCCCTCCGCCTCCTCCTGTTCCTGCATCCCCGAACCATCCCTGCATCCCTCCATCCTTCCATCCTTCCCTCCCCTGCACCGCAAAGGGCATCAGCTCCAGAGGTCTACCATATGGGCCAGTGTCTGAGCGCCTGACTGCCTGCTTCCCCTGCGGCTTGTGTGTGTGTGTGTGTGTGTGTGTGTGTGTGTGTGTGCTGACTGTTAGTCTGCCCCACCTGTTCATCTGTAACAACAGACCAGACTTGTCCTCTACAAGCCGCCCAGGACAGGCTGGTGGACAGATAGATAGATGAACTGATCACAGGCACAAAGACAGATAGATCGAGAGGAGGGGTGAGAGATATGCAGATCTGACAGAGCAGATTTCGGAAGAGATTTCCATAAAACATGACATCCAAGTGAATGATGAGCAGCTGTAAAATCGAGTTATCAATAAGCACCTGCCATCTATCAGAGAAGAGATCGGAAATAGGAGCAGATAAGGGGAGAAGAGATAGGAAGTAGGGCAGAAGACAGAAACCCAGATGGACGGAGAACAGATGAAGAGATAACAGATTAAAAGTTTGGCATAATTTAAGCCCAAAATATGATTGTGGAGGGAGCAGACTGCAGCAGACAGACACACCACGCTGCTCCCCAAACACCCGAGGACATGGGATTATAATGAATGAGAACTTGGGGGTTATAATGAGAGGTCAAAGAGAAGAATAAGTCTAAGGCTTGTACACCTGTGGCCCACCTTCTGCTGTCTAAACCGCCCAGAGACCTTTTGTTTTTTAACCCCCACCACCACCACCACCGTTCGGTTACTCTCATTATCAGCTTCTGAATAATGTAAAGGTATATAAGCATAAAGGATGCAAAGGGAGGAGAGGAGACAAGGCTGAGGGATGGAGGGATCTACATAATAGGGCTATCTCTCCCTCCATCTGGTCATGAGTCTATAATCTTCCCTTCCTCCACCTTAATGCTGATCTATCTGTTTGTCTGACAGACCTACTGCCCTATCATCATCATCATCATCATCAAAGCTGCTAACAATGTAGCCTTTGCTAATAATATCAAACTCTATGTTTACAGCCTGCAGAGATGGAAAATTGATGCATGTGTGCTTTTTTCTCAGTCTTTGCATTTTCCTATCCATTTGCAAGAGCTGACCCAAGCACTTTGCAGCCTCAGGAGAATTAACCAGGCGTCTGCCACCTGACCCCGTTGACTCTGACCATCCTGGGCTCAGCTGATACGCGTGCCGTGTGGCCCTGACATGAGGAGGACAAAAAAGGCAGGAGGGGTGGGAGGAGGTAGAGAGACAGAAGGACCAGCAGGCAATGAATGATTATGATGACTAGGGCCATCTTGCCGGCCTTATCTTCCCCTCCCCCCCTCCCGGCAGAAGTTGAAACCCTGGCCTTGGCCCTGGCTCTGTGGCTTCCTCATGGACGAGCGATCTGGCTCAGGTCAGCGTGGGTGAGGTGTCACCACAGGGCAAGGTCTGGTCTGTCAGCTGTTGAGGATGACAGGAGGAGAGGATGAGGGAGGTGTATAACAGTTGCAAAGTAATAAATCCTGAAGAAAGTGAACAAAAAGAACAAGAGGGAACTCGTAAGAGGCGAGATAATATTGGACAGAACAGACTGAAACAATGGATAAAAGAGAACAGGTTTTGTGGAGGTGTCCTATCTGCCAGGCCTTATGCAACCAGAGCGCCCGCAGATGGCATGGCTGCTGGGAAAGTAGGGTAAATATTCCCAGCTAATGACTTGCCCCCTCTTGACTAAGTATAGCGAAGTGAAAGTGCAAATAATTGGAGAAAACATGCCCCCGCGCGGATTAAGAATCAGTGCGGTCAGCCTCTGTACAGTGAGGAGGGTAAAAGAGAAAGGTTAAAGAAGGGTGAGTGTGTGGGCTCATGTATTCGTGGCATCTTCTCACAGCGCTGTTGGCACTGTCGGATCACTCTGAGGTGGTGATTACTTAACTCAGCTGAGTGAGCAAAGAGGAGGGGCGGCCAATTCCTCTGGAGGCTGAAGAGTACACATGTGAGGTCTGATGCAGCAGTTTGTCCACAGCACAGATTAGGTTCTATCCAGAGGGATTATTTACAGAAGGGAGGAACACATATGGTTTTAATAGTCGTGGAACTGAACATTTTTTCTCCATGCATGTATAAGAAACAGCAAAGCAAGATCTATTGTGTTCTCCCAAAAGTGGTATCATCCAGACCAAACAGCTCCCAAAGCTCATGTCAAAAGACACTTACAGCCCAGATTTGTTAAATACTTAATTCTGATTGGTCAAATCCCCTTATAATGGTAATAAATCCTCAACAGAGACAAACTGATCTTAAATCCCATATCAATCCAAGAAAAGGAGTCCAGCACTTTTTACCTCTGCCTGTTGACACTGTGGCAAAGATTTTGTTTGTATCTTTGCTGTTAATTTATCCTGCACCCTACAATGTTAGATAGTATGGTACGATACAATACAAAACAATACGATACAATGTGATACAATACGATATGACATGATATGATATGATACTAATGAAACAATCGGTACGAGGAGTTACGATATGAACGAAACAATTCGATACGATACAACATAATACGATACAATATGATACATTACCATACAATATGATATGATATGAATGAAACAATACATTACTACATGATACGCTACGAACAATACGATACGATATGATACGATGTGTACGAATCAATACAATATGATGCAATATGATACAATATGATACGAACGAAACAATAGGATACGATACAACATGGTACATTATGATTTGATACGATACGATACAATATGAATGAAACAGAACGATAAAATATGATACGAACGAATCAATACAATACGACGCAATACAATATGATATGATAGTATACGACTGAATCAAAAAGATACAATATAACATGATGCGATATGATATGATACAATATGATTTGTATGAAACAATACAATACAATATCATACGATACAAACTAATCAGTACAATGCAATACAATACAATATGATATAATACCATACAAAAGGATATGAAACAATACGATATGATACAATACGATATGATACAATACGATATGATACAATACGATACGATATGATATATGATATTTTATTCTCAGTATGGAAAGTTAGTTTTCGGTCTTTTTCTTTTGCTCCACTGTGAGGCTGGTGGAAATATTCTTAAACAGATAAACCAAGGACCGGAAAATACAGCCTATAAAATCCAAACGTTTCTTTACATAGAGGAAAGCTGTCAGGTGTCCCAATAAACATCTACTTCTCCCTGGTGGAAACTTAATATAACTTCTCATTAGTTTACATCCTGACAGGCATTTAGGATTATGGTGAAAGGTTACATCTTGTAAAAGTTTTGCCTGAGCCCTGAAGATGCTCAAACTGTCATCAGTCAGTCTTCAGTCTGCCAGCAGGTCAGGTCAGCTGATTTGCTGTGCAACAGTCCTGCTGGTGTGATTAAAGGGGCAGTGACAAAGACGCTGAAAGGCGATCAAGAGGGGGGAGAAACAGCCAGCTGTCACACAGAGAGACCATAATGGCCACGGTAAATCCCACTGCCGTCTGATCCAGTTTCTTCTTTGACTTCAGCCTCCTGCTAACTGACTAGTCATCTCTTTGTTAACCTGTCACTGAGCTGCTTGACGACATGAGCCGGAGAGGACATTGTTGTCACAATCAAAGGTTGGCCTGAATAGATTCATTTTATGAGCAATTCACTGAACATGTACATGTGTAAATAATGATAATAATAATAATAATAAATAACACAAGTTAATTGGATTGACTTGTGGAAATAAATAAAAACATACTGTGGTGAGGAAGTTAGACATCTATTATAGAAATATTTCACACAAGACTTCTAAATCTTTACTGCAAGCCTTAAACCCGCCTCAATAAATCTAAATTTAGAGAAGTTCACTATTCAATGTGGACTGCAGTTTTTAAACGTGTATAAGCAGAGCTCTGAGAGCTCACAATTGTACCAAAATGCATGTGATTATGCCGTAAATAGTCAAACCATAATGAAGTAGAGTAGCGTGGCTTGAATGGAGAAGCTATCCCTCCAATTTACTACCAAGAAGCATCCTTTGTTGCCGTGTGCTTAGAGTTTAACTGTGGTATAGTGTTCTTTACTCTGTCTTGTGTTCCTCCATTTACTGCATGCACCTGCTAGGGACTATGTGGGTGGTAGTTTTGTGGAGCTACAGAGTATCCCCTTTTCATTAACACAGCGGGCCTGGTGTCACTGACAACATCGTGAAAATTTAGCCGTTAAACGTTGGTAGAATTGAGTAAACTTTACAGCGGAGTTCTGTTTTTCTATCCCATCCCATCTATCCCCTGCAAGTAAGAGCATGATGACTATAACACTTTATTTTATATGGAAGTAATGGCATAATGTGGAGTTTGAGCATATGCTTGTAATGGCAACACAACATCATCTTAATCGTCATCTTGATTCATGTATTGTTTTAGGGATGACGAGCTTAAACAGCTGCTGAAGATCGGTCTTTGGTCATTTCTAAGCATGTTGTTGGTCATTTCTCCCTCTTTAGTTGATAATGAAAACAGCCCAGTCAGCAGCACGTGTCTTGCCCCTGACACTGACACAGCAAGCGGTGACTCTTGGCTTCTGTGTCCCCAAGCTGTGGCACCCCCTGAAGCTCCGCTTAACATCAGAACAATTAGTGGCCCTCTGCCCCTCTCTTTACACAAGAAAAGGGAGAAATGTGTGTATCCCCCCTCCATTACCACCACCGCCGCCGCCACACACTGCTGCAGTTTGGAAGCTGATGGCTCCTTGGCTCCTCAGTAGCAGGAGCAGTAGGTAATGACTCCTGCCTGCCTGCCATGGTGGACCTTAATTTGTTATTGTAGCAGAGCAGCTGTGCAGCATGCTGCAGAGAGCAGGTGGCAGCCTGGCAGGAGTGGAGGATGGGGGGATGGAGGAGGAGGAGGGGAGGGAGAGAGGGGGAGGAGAGAAGCGTGTGGCATATGTGGGTGGCTGTAGGGGGAAGGAGAGATGATGTGTGTGCATGTGCGTGTGTATTTAGGGTATTGTAGCCCACATCCTCTTAAGTCAGCATCCAAATATTATGCTTGTAAAAACAAATAGCACGTGAGGTTTTGGATGGAGTCCAGATTAGACTGTGCAGGTTTTAGTATTTGGAGAAATCTGGCCTGATGTTATGGAGCTCAACAGATGCAACATAATACAATTCAACCTACTGCGTGTGTATATTATTGTACAAGTGTGCTCCAAAAACAGGAAGACTTAAAGACTCATAACCTGCTGTAAATCAGTGAGTTCATCTCTATCACAGTTGTCTATCTCTGCTCTGACACCTCACATCACATATTATCAATCTAATCCATATTTAAAGGCACTGTGTGGAGTTTTTAACAGATTATGAAAACAGTGTCACTCTTACTGATTCCTCTTAATGACCTCTGCATGAAACAATTAGCACATGTTACATTATTCAGACATTAATTTGCACATGAGTGCAGATGGTTTGACACCAGGGCTAATGTTCAAGTTGTACATTTGATCTCTTCTTGTAATCGAACCAATGATAGTAACTGTGTCAACAAAGCTTTGCAGCTACAAAACAGATCAATCCACGTCCTCGTCACTCTACATCCTGCAAAAAGTTGTCTTTTACCTAAAAAGTCGTATTGAAACGAAGATTATTTACTTCCATAACAAATGCGTGCTTTAGCAAGAGTCTCATCTTAATGATAGATGGTCAAAGTGCTCATGGGACATGCACCAGAATCAAGACGACAAGCCTGCAACAACTAACAGTTAAATTAGTGTATTTCAGGAAAAGGTTTGCGCAATAACCCAATCAGGAAATCACGATGTATTACAGCTACAATTAAGAAAAAAAATGATTTAGGATTTTTTCTCAATAGGATTTCTCTCAGTTTCTCATGAAAATAAAGTATTTTTCACTTTTAGCACCTAACTTCATCAACAGTACATATAGGGTCCCAGCCACAGCACACACCATCAAACATCTTTTTAACTTTGCCTAATTTCTTTAGCAAAGAGACTAAACACAACTCACCTATTCTCTTCCAGCAGCCGCTTGTTTTTACAGAGACCAGCGACTACAGCGGGGCTATGCAGCTCAAGGAAGAACATTTATGATCATTACTTTATGGAAATGCAATCAGACCGAGACGCTCAGGCAGAAGAATGATATTCATTACTTAAGGGAAATTATAAAGTTATGATCATAAATGTTCTTCCTTGAGCTGTGTCCCCCCGCTGCACTCGGACTTACCTGGAGGTCTGCTACAAACAAGCGGCTGCTGGAAGAGAGATGGTGAGTTGTGTTTGGTCTCTTTGCTAAAGAAATTTGGCAAAGCTAAAAAGATGTTTGATGGCTAGTACCATGACTGGGACCCTGTATGTACTGTTGATGAAGTTAGGTGCTGTTCTGAGGATTATTTGTGGCTATAGAGTGGCGTTTTGGTTGAGTACGTGGCTCTCTGTATTGCTATCGTGCAGTCATTACTAAAGTTGGTATAACTAGAGAAGCAAGTGGTCGGCAACATTCATCTCTCGACAGGGTGTCTAACTCAGTTATTATGGTGCGTTTGACTATAACTTAATTTTACGCCAGAATATCCCTTTAAGATCTCATATTAAGTTAATACGAACAAACATTTTTAATTGATTATTTAGACATAGTTTTGGATATCTATCTATCTATCTATCTATCTATCTATCTATCTATCTATCTATCTACTTTTAATTATCCCAGTATGGAGTTATTTCTCTGCTCTCATGACTAAGTAAATGTCCTCCAGTGGAATGTTAATAAAGTTTATTGTATTTTAAGACGCATATTTCAGCCATGTTATCAAGTACCATCCATCATATTCAGCTGCATCGTCTCTCCATCATCTCCACTTGTTTCAGTTTGACAGTTTGTTCAGGCATCCCAGGCGACAGATTCGGGCTATGAACTCGAAATCGATACACCAACAAGTCGAGGTCATAAACGACTTTGCTGAAGGCGATGGAAGTGTGTCTGGTGGGAGGATTATGGGAGCTGGTGTCCTCTTTGCTGGCCGCTCGGAGTTAATCATTTACTGAGACACCGTTCCCCTGCTGTAACGGAGCGGTTATTGGCTTTCTGCTTAAATGCTTACAATTAGTACCGCCCACGTAAAACAACGCCGGAGGAGAATTGAAACCTAAAGCCTGCTGCTACTGCTGGACAGGATCGATCGTCTATATTGCCTTGCTTTAGCTCTGATTTATTCCCAACACTTTTAGGAGAGAAGAAGAAGACGGACTGGAGGAGTTTGGACGATTCACCTCATCTGTTATTCTGCCACCAAGAAGAACCAACAATAGGAGGAGGAGGAGGAGGATGGTGGGAATGCCCAGTACTTTAAAATGTAAGTAGACTTTTATTTACAACATGCAGAATAAAATTAAGTCACTTTTTCATCACCATCACAGTTTTATTTGTTTGCACCTGCACATGCTGAGTCAACAAATACTCTATTATGCATGCCAATCATTTCATCATCTTGATTTGCATATTTAAACAGCACAATCTGCTATTGTTTCCTCCTAATGGAAATGATGCACAACTTTTCTTTATCTGAGCGTAATAATGCTGAAAGAGGAACTACTCCGCTCCATTATTTTCTGATTCTTCTCCCAGAGCCGGGAGACCCTTTTGAATGTGTTACTTCAGATCCCATCAAATCATGCTAATGACCAAACAAAAACTCTGTCATCCCGCTGCCTGCTCAGATCTTACGCTCATTAAGACCCATTAAAAGAGTGAGAATAAACTATGCATAACACATACTCTATTGGATGCATTATCCCTTATATAGCCCCCTCACAAGACAGCTATTATGCTCCCATTTGATTGAATAGCAGCTTTGGGTCTATGTGTCTTTTCAGCAGAGGATTTGGAGCCCTTAATCCACCAGACCAAGTTTTTTTTTTTTTTCTTTCCACCATCTGGAGTTTACAGCGCTTTAAGACAAAAACACCAGGCGGTGTGAAACCAAGCTGGGGCTGCTGCTTGATGCCAGGAGGGAGGTTTTTTTCTGCCTGGGGTTTCTGTCTGCTTTACATCAGGGGTCAATAGTACAGTCCTACCATGCAAGTGGGGTCAGCCGAGCCTGAGGGCAGGACTGCAGGGTTTGAGACTCCCCAGAGGATATCAATTGGTTCCCCTTTTTCACCAAAGAAGGGACAAATAATCGTGACATAGATGTTACTGTACTGCAGATCCTGGTGCTACAGTGTCCACCAGAGTGCAGCAGCGTGTACTCCGTGAAGAACCTATCGACATGGCAGGGTCTGGGTTTGAAAGCATCGCTTGTTTTGGAAAAGTTTGGGTCCATGAAAAGCCAAAAACGAAAAAAAAAAAGATCAAACATTCTTCTGTTCCTCTGTAACTTTTGTTTAACTCAAGTAATTTGAAGTTACACAGAACTAAACAGCCCTCTGGGAAGCAGGGGTTGCTGCGTGTAGACCAGGAGAAAATGTGTTAAAGAGCATGTCGGTTCAACATCGCTCACACCAGTCAATCATTTCCATCCTCCTCTGATTCAATTATCTTTACTCGAAAACATGTGGATCATTTGGAACCCCCTCCATAATTTTCCCTTTTCCCTTCGTTTCTTTGGGGTGGGTTACAGAGTCGGATTCCAATCCTCTGACATTAAAAGGGGAAATAAACGACAAAGGGGCCCTGCAGGTTTGCATTAGGAATCTAATTGGTTTTGGCTTGAGTGGGCTGTTAGCGTTGCCAGACGTGGGCCTTTTGTGTTTTGCCATGTGGGAGAATTTGTGCTGCGCTGGAGGTAGGGAGAGGTGCCTGCAGATCTTCTCTGAGTCACCCCTGCAGCATTCTGTGTCTCTGTGGGCTGCTAATTCGCACGTGAGCGTGTATGCGAGTGTTTATGAAAGTGTAACACGCAATCTTAAAGTATGCATTCAGAGGGTTTTGTGCACACA